CAGAAAGCTCTCAGAAAATCTAACTCTCCTCCACCTGAAGGAAGGAACACAAGCAGGCGAAGAACATCAACGCGATGCCAATCAATAACAGCAGGCGCCCCGAGCCATTCCTCCACATGTCGCTGCAATCTGAGGTTATTGAAGCACGGAGGACGTCAACAGACAAACTTTCATAAGTGTAAGGTCGCGAGATTGACCTCGCAGTCAAGTGATCAATCCCAGATCTACAATGACGAATAATAATGAATTCAAGACCGGGTACGAGAATGAGAAGAAGTGGAGTTTTAAAAAGAATAAAAATGACAAATCAAAGTTTCCTAGTTGGAAATTAGCTCAAAATGTCAAGAGTCCTGGGCTCCATTTTGTGGTGTCATGTCATGATGAAAGTGCTGCTTGAAACCTCAACCTCCACACATTCTTTGTTCTATTTGACCGACACCAGGAACAAAGAGAATTTCACCTCTCATATAATCATTCTTCAAGGGAATGTATTAATCAAAATTCACATGTTGCATGAGTTTGTATTTCCATTTGGGTTTCTGCTGCCTCTCAAAACACCACAAGTGCTTAAAAAACAATCTCTCTGTTGGATTCATGTTTTTTGGTGCCTGGAAAATGACCTGTTTCAAAATCTTCCAGAATATTCTATATATATGCACAAATTACTTTATTATTTATTTATCTATTATTTGTGTGTTAGATTTCTTAATCTGGGACCTGAGTTCAAACAAGCAAAGATGGTACAACAATAAAAAATCCTCGAATTCTTAAATGTTACAAATTTGCTCCAACCACACAAGAGCTCCACCCGTCACCTGGCAACCCAGGCTGAACTCCAGCAGGTTTGGACAGCTGATTTTATCTCTGTACAATGGCTGCTGTTAAAGACAAGTTTTGTTTTGTTGTTGCCCCACCATCCAGAAACCACTTGCTGCATTCTTGTTGGTTGTGCAGGAGGCTCTAGTTATGCTTTTCAAACATGTAAGATTGCATAGTTGTGCATCTGTTTGCAGCAATTTTCACATGCAACCGTAAACTTTGAGTTGGGACGCCTTAGAACAGCTCATTGTGAAAAGACCAAGTTAAAATCTCTTTATCTAAGAATAATTTTATGCAAAAATGTAATGAACATGTTTGGTATAGGCCACTAATTTATGCTAACCTGTTTAAGGAGGCATAATAAAAATAATTTAAAATCTAATGTATTTAACTGTTTAAAACTATATTTTGTGTATTTTTTAAAATAAAAACAGCTCATTTGCTGTAGTGAACAGTGTCGTGAACGAACGAGTCATCTTCGTGGACTTTGTCCTTGTTTCCGGCGCTTGGCCCACTTCGGTCAATCCCATTAGTAACACAGTGTTAAATGTTTCAGCTCTGTCTTTTAAATTTGTCTCATGAATGTCTGCTACTCTCTTGTACCAAACATATTTTTCTGTGTACCGTGGACAGACACGGCAGGCAGAAATCTCACTCAATTTGATTAGAGTGACTGAAACGAAGAAGCAATTAGATAATTACATAAGTGCACAGAAAAGAAAGACGGAGAGAGATTCAGAGTGAGGAAGCAGAAGGAGCGATAAATAAAGAGAGCGAAAACGACTCATCCTTGAAGTGGGGTAAAAATCGATTGTGAGGAAAATGTGTTTCCCTGCAGAGAAGTGAAAGGACAGCAGGACAGAGAGGCTGGTACAGGGACTCTGAATACAAGAAAAACAACAGCTGAAAGCCATAATATGGTCACTAATACAAACCAGTTAAAGCCAGACTCCAACCAGAAGTGTGTCCTCTGGATTTAATAAGATTAATGAAAATAAAACATGTTGCATCTGTGAAGAAAATAAAGTGACACTCATTTCCATATTAAGATATGCAAACAAGTGTCACAGAATCAATTAAACATTATTTGTAGAACTACTGTATAAATAGAAATTGTTTTTCCATTTAGTTAGAATTATTAAGTCTTATATTAAATATACATATATTTATCATGCTAGCTTTGTGCTCTTGTGGACCCCTAGTGGTGTGGAGGCCCTAAGCAGTCAGTTAACTTGCATATTCCTTGGGCTGGTTGTGCTTTCGTTGTCTGTTTTTTAATTATGAAGAGAAGACCAATACTATTTAAGGATTTGCCACTTCCAAATGTGGTGGAAATGTTATTATTTAGTATTTCAATATTCACCCTTCACCCAACCCTAGGGAAGATTTTGTCCCAAAGCTGGACATCTGGACAATTTTCTCTCTCTGGCCCACGGTCCATAAAGGGTTATGCTCCACTACCATGACTTTAACAGAATCCCGACTATGTGACAAAATGTTTAATAGATCAAATGTGTGGTTTCCTCACAGAGTATTTGACATGTCACCTTCAAATCTGACTTTACTGATTTGACAAGTTATTAAATAAACACAGTCTTGCATTTGCAGACCACCGCTAAGCAGGATATGATAGACAATTTGTGTTGAATAATTCAGTAACATTTCTGGAGCCTAAAAAAATGCCTTGGATCAACTTTTTTTGTTTGTTTTTGGTCGATGTGACTTTGACTAAAGTCACATCGACCACATTGACTCTGGCTTTCCTTCAGCATGGTAGCGGTGGTGCGGTCTGCTGCTAAATAGTGCAATTATTCATGTTTCTAACTGAACTTATGAGAGCGTGTGCACTTTGTGCCTCTCACTCATCTCCGCCAAGATGTGGAGCCTCTCGCTCATTAGTGCCCCCGGTCAGGCATGGCTGCCAGATTGTGTTTGGTCAGTGCTGGCAGGGGCACAAACAAAATGGTGGAAATGTTCGCCCTCAGATTTTTCTGGCTCTACTTTCAAAAACCAGCAGCAAATCACCCTTACAAACAATGAAGAGGACGACACGGCTTTAGGTTCAGATCTGCGTCAGCGAAGCCTTTGGGTACATTCGCGCTCCAACTCCAACTGGACCGGGCCCAAAGGCAGAAAACAGATGGGAGACGGATCGAGGAGGTCTGCTCCGGCTTTCACATGAGAGCAGATTATGTTTTTAAAACTCTTGAAAGAAAATGAAAGTTACAGAAACTCCATCCACGGAAGAATTAATTAGTTTCTTCTTTTGTAATGAAAGCAACTTCTGATGTCGGTGGTGAGAGTGTTGGACGAGTGTGCAGCATAAAATGTTAATTTATCTGAAACAAACCCGGCTTTGAAAAGGATTCATTTGATTAACCTGCAGTGTCCTGAGACTGAAGACACAAACAAAGCAATCTGGCAAAGCGCAAATTGAGGTGAAAGTCAGCATCACATTGAACTCAACTAAAAAACAACTCAGGACTGGAAATGGATCTCAGCAATAAAGCTTGTTGTGAAAAACAATAAAAATAAACAAGTGGTGACTTTTATGCATTGAGCCTAATTATACCCTCATCAATTTGTGTTAAGGGCTGTAAAAAGTATTTTATTATTACTGTATTTGCTTGTTAAATGTTTAAATATAACATGAAATACATGTTTTAAAAAACAACGTTGTCCAACTTGGCCTTACATAAAAAAGGTTTAATTTGGCAATTGTTTTTTCTATATCAACCTGGAGAATTTTGACTAAATCTTGGCAGAATTGTTTTAATTCAGTATATTGACTGAGTTCATCACCTGTCTTTGTGAAGGTAAATTCTGACATTAAAGCTGCAGTATGTAACTTTTTTGTACATATTTGTGGAAACTGACACTTTGTTTTGACAGTAAGACAAAGAATCTGTGAAAAAAAAAAGTTTCTCCACCTTCTTCTAGTCCTAAATAGAAACAACCAATCAGAGCAAGGAGGCGGGTCTTAGCGCTGTCAATCAAGCTAGTGCCAGCAAAAGTTGTGTTTTCAATGCTAGGCGTCAGTTCAAGGATTGGTTCCCTGAAAGACAATGTAAACCTGTCACACTGTGCTAATAGCACTTAGCAGAAGTCACGGCGCTAAATAATAAAAAATATAATGAAGCTTCATGCAGTTTTAATACAACACTAGTTCTTCATTTAAAGCAAAGTGAAAGGACTCTAAAAGTCACTTTTGCATGTTTGTGACTGAAGGAAAAAGTTTGTGCGTGTGTGAGAGGATGACAAAGTGCTTACCGATGTATCCGAGAAATCCGGACAGCACCCAGGGATCACAGCAAGCCTCCAGGCCTCAGAGTTCTGCAGCTGCAACCAATCTGACCAGCAGGTGTGACTGACTGAGTGGGACACCGTGTGTGTGTGTGTGTGTGTGTGTGTGTGTGTGTGTGTGTGTGTGTGTGTGTGTGTGTGTGTGTGTGTGTGTGTGTGTGTGTGTGTGTGTGAGTGTGAGGGAAAATGGCAGCTGAATCCCACGGGAGTAGAGAAAGGACTTCCATTAGAAACTCGAGGCCCGTTTAGCAGCTGACCTGCGGTCCAAAGTCCAGAAAATGTTTGAAAAACAAAAAACTGTGAAGAAATAACCAACATGAACTCCTCCAATCACTCTGTAAGATTTCTGCAGTTAAGCTACAATAAAAAAGCAGTAACATTTTTTGATGGTCCTGATGATACATGGAGGAAGTTTGTTTTAATCCTAATTTTACAAAAAGAACATCAAACACGGCAGTGGTAGTGTGATGACATGGGGCTGTTTGATGCTTGCTAGCATTAGTTAGCTAGTTTTGTTCCTACCTCCGTTCCCAAAATCAATAGTTCCAGCTAATTTAGCTGCCAATATAACTTTCCTAGCTAGCATAAGTATGTTAGCTAGGATATACCTAGCATACCCTTCCTATGCTAATTAGCAAAGGTATATTAGCTAGTTAGCGATATTGATATTGCAAAAATAAAGACCACATAAAATATATGAGATTAAATAATCCTATCACCACAAAAGTTAAGACCTGTGATTAAACTATTTAAGGTCAAGTTGCCTGTTTATAAATTAGTTTAAGACATTTTAAGATGCACAGGCACCCTGATTTTCAACATCATTTAAATATTTTACTTATTTTCATTCAATCTGCATGTGAAACACAAAAACCCTGTGTTTTTAATGAGATGTTTAATTTAATAATAATAAAAAAAGAAAACATACATTACAAGCTTTGTTTTCATATGCCTTCTGCAAACCGTTTAGCACAAGAGCTTTCTCTGAAGCTGCTTCTGAGACATTAATATAAAACAAATGAAATAAGGTTTCATAAAGTCCAGTGTTTCTGCAACAACAACCGTTTGGCATTGATATGATTTGCTGTACATCTCCGGTTAGCTTCGCATTAAATACCCACCTCTGCTCACACACAGACATGAGCAGCAGCAGTTTAATACATAGTTCCCATTCGCTTACTAGGCAGGCGCATGCGCAATGCATAGAGGATCAATGAAAACATGTGGACACAGTTAATTCTTCATTGAGAAGGTCTTAAATCTGCATTACAGTAAATAATACCCTGTATTCACCTGTCTGAGAAGAAGGAAAACAAAACAAGATGGCAACAATTAGTCACCTTTCTCCCACTAACGGACCTAAAGAGGACCTTCTTTGTGAGCCACTAATCAATAGGTGGCTGTCAGAGCACAAAAGCAGTAAAAAATCTGACAGGCAGAATAAAAGTTAAACAGAACCTTCATAGGAAACAAACGTTGAATGTAGAAGACCAGATATGCAATAAGTTACATCAGCCTGACCAGCAGCTCACATGATACCAGGTTATTTACATTATCTGTACATTTCAGCATAAATAAATCGCCTCAGGATTTACATGGTATCACTAAAGAGCAGGAGGGATTCTGCTGCAGCCACCGACAAACTCTGCAGACTGAAACTAGAACCCGGCAAGCTGCTCGGTCATGAGAATGAGCATGTAGAGCCTTACAGTGCATCACAAAGCGTCGGTGAGCTTCAAGTCTAGACAGAGTTTCTCACTTATTACCTTGTTTAAAAGTGGAAAGTATTCACACCCCTTTGTATTTTCTACTGTCTTAGTTGCAGATTTATTTTTAAAAGCCACTAAAGCAGCAATATTCCATAAAAAAAAACATTATTTGTTAAAACTGTCAGTTTGCTATGACAAATAATGTATGAAAAATTGAACTACGCTTCCTATTTCTTAGAAAGGCAGTGCTAACTAGAAACAACCAATCAGAGAAAGAAGGCGGGTCTTAGCGCTGCCAATCACCCTCAGGCTTGTTAGCACAGCCACTGATAGCAGACAAACAGTTTTTCTGTCACTGTAAGCTGTTTCTTTGCCATTAACACATTTAGTAGTTGATTGACAGCGGTAAATCCCTCCTCCTGGCTCTGATTGGTTGTTATGTTCACAACCAGTTTTAATAAATATATGAAAGACGTATTTTATTAAAGTTACATACTGCAGCTTTTATGACAAAGTAAAGTCATTGTCACATTTGTGCAAAACAAACACATTTAAGTAAGAAAAATATCATCATTACTGTAAAGGATTTGCTTAAAATGTGATATTTTCTTGGTAAATACACTAGATCATAAGTTCACATATTGTTTCCTGACCCAGTGTCCAAGAAAATAAGTATTTGTTAAAAATGATCATCATAATTTCAAGTTTTACCAATATTATCTCCATCCTGTTATTTTGTCCAGTGAGGCTGCAGTAATTTAAACATAATAGCTACTAAAGCATCAAACTGGTTGCTGTGACACTGAACTGTAGTCAATTTGATTTTCATTGATCCTCCTTCAGATGCTTCTGCAACCTGATTGGAGTCCATCTGCAGACTGAACTTGATTTAGGACTTCTCTAAATCTGGATTGTGTCCAAGCACAACCTTAAGGTAAGAGAGACAGGGCTGCACTTGTGACTAATGGCAAGACAATGAACAGAAGGTCAAAACAAAAGGTAAAGAAGTAGCTTCTGGGATCAAACCTGGGCTTAAATCCAACTGGAAAAATGATCAGAATATTACGATCTACAGCAAATGGTAGAAAAAACCCCAAAATGGGTGTGAATACTTTCTGCTGGTGCTGTACACCTAATCAATAAGATCCAGTGAAACCATTAGCCTTCAGCAGTCAGCCAGCAGTCCACCTACATGAACTTTGTGGTTGTAACGTGATCAAATGTGGGAACGTCTAAAGGCCGTGATCTTCTGGAGCGGCAAGTCGTCTGGGCGCCTCGGTGTCACCGGATCAGGAGCCGTCAGCGTCTGATTGGCCCTCAGGTCAACTTCCTGTTCACACACAAAGCGCTTCGTTTAGTCCTGATCGCTTCTGAACTCGCAGGTTATCAATATGTTGAAGTCAGTCGTATTAGGCAGAAATGGGTAGAGTACACAAAAATTATACTCAGGTAAGAGTAGAATTACTTCAACATACTTTTACTCAAGTGAAAGAACAAAGTAGCTACCAAGAAATTACTCAGTGAACAGAACCAAACGATGATGATGGAAGGAAATGTATTTATTGGTTCCCTCCTCATCTTTTCTTGACTCACCTGTTGCAGTGCGGTCCGAATGCGTCCAGCATGACGGTGCTGGCCTGTTCCAGGTCCCACCGGTGGCACTGCAGAAGCTCCTCACACTCAGTTCTCGACCTCAAACCCAAACGAAACAGCTGCTCCACCTGCAGCACAGAGGGTGGAGGAACTTAACACGAGTAGGAACAGTTCCTCTGAATTTAACAAGTAGGAACAGTTCATCTGAATTTAACACAAGAACAGTTCATCTGAATTTAACACAAGAACAGTTCATTTGAACCTAACAAGTAGGAACAGTTCCCCCCTAGCTTTGGTTACCTAGTGAGTAACTGGCGCAGCAGCAGTTTATAGTTCTTCTTCATAAGTGATTTAAAATAAAAAACACAATTGAGAGAAAACATGAAAGGTCAGACCACCAAGATATTTAAAGCAAAACACTAACTGATAATTATCAATATTGACGGATATGAAATGCTTATGTTCTGAGTTTTTCAGCCATATTACTGAGAGAGGAAGATCTCTGGCTTGTTTTGGTTTCATGTTTTAAAATGAGCTGCAGGAACAGCTCAGAGGAGCATCAGCAGCATTTCTGATTTATGAGCCACTTAAAGGGAACTAGTTTGGGATGACACCTAAAGTGGCAGACAGTCCCCAAGGAGCTGCAGGAGGGAGGAGCGGAGAGGTGTCAACAGTAACCGAGCCTCAATATTCAGGCTGTGTCCTCAGTGACATTAATGAAGTTTAACACAGTAATAACAACCAGACTTTGTTGTTAATCTTCTTATCAGTGCAAAATGCTAACATTTATACATTTATAGTGTTAAAACTCTTTCTTTCAGCTGAGAAACAAAAATATTTGGGAGTTAAAAATATAAACTACATAGAGCTCTAACCTGATATTTCAACACTCTCTGTTCACAGTCTGTCAGGCTGCATCTTGTCGCTTGAGGTAATTTTTTCATTTTGATTATTTCAGTCTTTCCAGAATTTCACAAAAGTTTTTGTAATTTTTTTCCAATCAAAATCACAAATTTCAATTGGTAAAAATGTCACCTTTAGTTACTGACCATATTGATCACAGACTGTAACTTGGCATCCAGTAAAGATGAGGCAGCAGCATAGCGGAAGTAAGAAATACTGCCACCTGCAGGTGGGAGTTAGCATAACTCCCACCACTGTTTTTCACCATCAAAAATGAGCAATAAACACAAAAAATGCATTCCTGTGGAAAAAAGAAATGCAGGAATTGGTTGGTTTTGCATTTATATTCCCACAAACTGTGAAAAACTGGAGGGACAGTTCCTTTGGGAGAAAAGACTTTTGTTCCCTTTTCATGCAAAACGAAAACAGATGAATAAATGTACCTTTAAGAATTTAACAGCCTGAGGAACGCTCCAGTTGTGGCTCTGCAGAGCAGCTTTACATTCCTCCGTCGTAACGCCATGAACGGCTCCTTGGACCTGCAAACAGCACCGGTGACAGGAAGTGACAGAAGTTAATAACACTGCAAAAACACAAAATATTACCAAGTATTTAATTCTGATTTCTAGTGCAAATATTTTAGTAGACTTGAAATAACTTACAAGTATCTTTTCAAGGCTTATTTTGAATGAATAATTTCTTAATATTGATGAAAAAGTTACACTTATAATCTTAAACCTTTTCATGAATTATTTACAAGCTAATATTTCTTGCTAAAAAGTTACTTCCAAGTTTTCTTCTCTTATTTCAAGTGAACTAAGGTATTTGTATTAAAAACTAAACCAAAAATACAACAAATACTAGTTTTATTGCCAAATAAGTTACTTATAATATAGAAAAAATGTTTTGTTAAAGCTGGAATGATCTGTCAGTGAAACTAGTAATTTTTCATCAATATGAAGGATTTATTAACAAAATAAGCTCAAATATCATGTTGACAAGATACTTAGGTCAGTTTAGTCTTAATTCAGGTATTCCAAGATATTTGCACCAGAAACCGAACAAAAATTACTTTGTAAGGTTTTATGTTTTTGCAGTGAACATGAACACTTTTCCCTTTTATAGGCCAGGTGCCAAATAATATTTAGAATAAATAGATTGCTTTGTATTAACAAACATTGTTAATACAAAGAGGGAAAAACATCAGGGTAATCTTTTCGGTGTTATTAATAATCATTAATTGGTACAATGAATTAAGCTGCAACCTATTTTAAACGAGCCCACAGCACTTTGAGGTTTCCCTCCAATCACAGGAACTGATGATTAATGATTTTCTGCTTTGAGGCTAAAATGTTCAGCAGAAATCAGGTCACATCTGCTGCTTTGTGAACACAGAGTTCTGCTAATTAAAACTCTGTCGACAAATGGTTGTTACTTTAACAAACGAGGTCAGTCGGATGCTGTAAAATGGCTGATTTCAGATTTCCTCGCCTGCAGCAAACGTTGGCATTTGTGGGATCGTCACACATTTCAAGAAAGAGGAGAATGTGAGCTAACCTGTGTGATGCTCTGCTCCTGTTGCATGCTGGGAGCTGCGGTCCCGCCGTTGTTGTTGTTGTAGGAGGAGTTTGGTTTCGCTTCGCCTGGTTGCTGCTGCTGCATCATGGGTTTGACTGCCGCCATGTTGGCTGAGCCGTATCTGATCAGAGCAAACAAAAACCAGGAGCTCAGAATAATGAGAGAGATGATAACTGGATGGATGGATGGATGGTTGATTGATTGATTGATTGATTGATTGATTGATTGATTGATTGATTGATTGGATGAACTGAACTCTGATCAGGTGAGTTTGAACGAACCGCTCCAGGAAGGCAGGTCTCTCTGGCAGCGGGTTGGGGGTGGAGCTCTGAGGGCCGTCCATCATGGTGGACAGGCCCCGCCCCTCTCTGAAGGCGAGCGGCTCCAGCAGCGCGGTGGAGGAGTAAGACGAGGCCGCCGACCTGGAGGCGGAGGAGGAGCCAGAGGACAGTAGGGGGCCGAGGAGCCCCGCCGCCCGCCGCGGGGACACCAAGAGCGGCGGCGGCGGCAGCACCACGAGCGTGGAGGACAGAGCCGGCGCCAGCGGGAGCGGGGAGGAGGAGCGGGAGCCCGGCTGGGAGAAAGCGTGATCTCTGGGTGGGATCTGAGGCGGAGCGTTGTCCTCGTCTCCCAGGGAGATGGAGCTGGAGCGCGCCCCCTGCTGGGAGCTGCGGGTGGCGTAGCTCTGCTTGGAGGGGCGTAAAGGGGGCAAGGGGCTGCGGGGGGGCAGCACGGGCCGGTCCTCGAAGCAGGAAGTGATGGAGGTGGAAGAGGAGGAGGGCGAGGGCGGAGGAAGGTAGATCTGTCGGTGGGCGCCGAACGGAGCCAGAGGCATCGGGGTGGGGGAGGACGGGAGGGAACGACCGGTTGCCATGGGAACCTGGAGCTTGACCATCACCTGTAAACAGACAAAAACAAGAAGGAGCAGTGTAGACAAAACAATCATGCAGATGGAAATGATGAAGCTTATTTTAATTCATCATGCAATGAATCGATGTTCTGGTTTAGCCGTGTGTTTAATAATCTACTGTTGATCAAGGAGCTTCCAGTGGTTGCAGATCTACCTCTCTCTGCAGCTCCTGGAAAAGGTCGGCAGACTGCGACTCGCTCCTTCCCGCCATGCTGGACACAGGGGGGCCCAGCGTTTCTTCAGGCGGCCCCTTGTTGATGGAGCGCACCTCCTGATCCTCTGATTGGTCGTCAAAGTCTGCAGTGACCTCGTCGTAGGCTGGCTGGGGCAGAGGCCAGTCCAGGATGGACGGCGTGTCCTGAGGAGGTAAACAGAGGATAATGAAAACAGTCAAGAGTCAGAGAAAGAGAAAATGACACAAATCAACATGTGATGGCCTCATCTGAAACAGTCGTAGTTTACGATAAGATGCTAACTTGTGATATTGAGAGAAAAGGCATTGGTAAAACACAAGGGGAGCCAAATACCAGCAACAGAAAAGTCCGCTAGAGACAGCAAAACAAACCTGTGCCTGCATTGATTAAAACAGGGTTTCTGCAGGTTTCACCAACTCAAATGTGAAACTTCTTCAGACCTTTTTAAGACTATTGTGAAAGGAATTTAAGAACTATATCTCCACAGGGAAGAGCAAATTTCAACCAGCCAACTGGTGAACAATTATCACAAGACAGAGAAGCTAACTTGTGTGTCCAATCAAAGACACAAGAAGTTATATTACTAGCTAACTAGATACATTTTGGTGTCTATCATCGGTAACTGCAAATTAATAACTGTTGGCTGGAAGAAGATTGTTTGTTCAGACTTTTATTACTGCAACAGTCACTGGGCAAAAGTAGGGTGAGATATCAAATACCAGCTCAAAGATTTTCTTTTAGATGTAAGAAAAAAATGCAGTTTTGGTTTGATTTTTCCATTCTGATTCTCCAGCTTGCTTCACATTTTCACCATGTTCCTTAGTCTAGATTTCTAACAGCAGACTGAAGCTCCAGGCTTGAATTTCTGTCGATATCTGAAGCATGAGGGGTACACAGTCGATCAATGAGCACCAATCATCATCACGCTGCACCCGCCTGAGTGCATCCAAGAGGAAAAGTTATGAATCACATCTCCAGGCTAAAGGTCATCCCACCTGTTTGGAGAACAGTAAAACTGATGATGATCACTGCTTGTTTGAGCCTTCAGCTGTGATTTTATTAGTGTTCTTGGTTGTGGAAGGTCTCTTATGCATCTTTAGGCCCTCAGTACTGGTGCTACCTTGCTTTCACAGTGGGAATGGGTTAAGTTAAAAGGTCAGAGGCTAAAGCCTTCAGATTAGATAGGAGTCGTCCACTAATTGCTAGCTTGGCTCCACTGGGGGATTTGGGTTTGCCGCTAATGGAAAAACAAATCATCTTAACTTCCAGCCTAAGCTCAGTGAGGCATAGAACAACACTGCTTTCCATAAATTCAGTTCCATGACCCACAGTGCGGTCAGTGAGCTTTGGCGGTTAATTAAAACCTGACATTTGACCGCAGCGAGCTGCAGAGCAAAGGCAACGAAGCTGATATGGCGGACGGAGCTAATGCTCATGTTAACTGTTGCAAAAACAAAAAGCAGACGCTTCTGAGTCATTTTCTACAACTTCATGTCAAGCTTCATGTATTTTCTCAGACTAGATGAAAGTCTCAAGTCTCTAAAAGCAATAAACATTTTTCCATCAAATCGATGACCTCTAATTAATTGCTATCTCTGTAACCCTTATGTTTGTTTTTGGGTCTAAATTAGCAAATAAATTTTCCACAATTATCTACAAACATTTCATATTTCCTAACAATAGTCTTTCATTTAAAATAATTCAAGTCACCACAAAAAAGCTGCAAAAAGTTACTTTATATTGTTTAGAAAACTGTTCATTGCAATATTTATCTCATCACAAACAATAACAATAGATAAGAACTAGTTGAATTTATTACAGCTTTCTTTAGAATAAATATTTGTGTGGACGTTATTATGAAGCTACAGCAAACATGAAGAAAAATATTTGTGGGTTTTAGAAATTCAACTCATCGTCATCATCTTAGAGGAGATATCAGAAGAAAAAAAAATCTTCCAACGCTGTGCAACCTCTTCAAATCATTCAGCTAAAATGCATCCCTCTTTGTGGATGTCTTATTGTGATGCAATAGTATCTTCAGGCCTGAAACTAAACAGATGTATCCAAACAGAAAACACAAACTTTGTCTGAAAGGATGGTTAACTGTGAAAGATCGAGCAAACAAAGCCAGATTTTCCGTGACTTGGCACAGAATGGATGCGGCTCCACGGAGAATTGATGTTTTATGGCCTCCTGCGCAACAAGAATGCAAACAAATAAAAACATCTGAACTTGCTTTATGAAGATTTGGCAGAACAAAAACACAGAAAATAGAAAAGTTAAGAGTGGTAGCTGTAATTACAAGTTTGTGTTGTCATGGTTTGGAGGCCACCATGGCCACTTTACTTGATGCTCGTTCAAATAAAGAACAAGTAGTAAGCTTGGGGCCGTTAATACTGCTATTAAAACAGCAACGAGACTTCTGTGTGAATGGGTTACATCCCCAAAGACAATCGCATGGGCATTGTTGGAAATTATAATACATGGACCAGTCTATGGATTGATTTTAAATAGGCAGTATTATGTATTTCCAGACAGATAGAGCCATTTTACAGCATCATAAAGCAACTATGTTAACTTAGAAGTTAAAAAATGCTATATACGTATCAAACATGACTTAAGAAATTTTATTTTGTGATTTAACACCCTGAATTTGGCCCCCCTGTGTCTTTCATGCTCTTTCTGAAACTCTTTCTTCAGGAAGTCATCACAACATGGCTCCTCTATTAAGCCTTTAACAACATTTTGAGATGAAGAAAGGTCATCATCTATGGAAACTTTTTATTAATTTCCTTAAAATGATAGTGGCACAAACAAAAAATGTTTATGCACAAATGTGACTTGGCACATTTGGTGCCAAATGGTGTCAAACATTTCCGCACAAATGTTTGACACCAATTTTGTTCAATTTGAAGGGAGGACATATGGAAATAGTAGATTGGATTTTTGTTTAGGTGAAAATATAGTATATTCAGACTGTGGAAATTGGCTTGTTCAATCTGACCCAATCAGAATCTACCTTCAGAGTGTCTTCATCTGGTTGGTGTGTCTCTGTGAGCGGCGAGGGCGTGGTCGAGCTGAAGCTGTCGTCCGTGAAGTCGATGAGCGACACCTCGCTTTTGGCCGATCGCACGCCGCCGCCGCCGCCGCCGGCCTCCCAAGGCCGCAGCTTCAGACCGAGAGACGCGCCCAGCTTCTTCAGCCCAGACGATGTGCTGAAGTCGTCCTCGTCATCGTAGTTGTCCATCACGGAGTCGTACAGCGGCTCTGGGAGCACACGGAAACACCACGGTCAGGCTGGAAATGTGGGATCTTGGGTTGCAAAGAGGAGAACTTACTTTTGAGCAGAACAGCTGGCTTTGGTGGACGAGGAGGAGGCTTCTCTGTTAAAATCAGACTTTGTTAGACTTTACCAGAAGTTTTAGATCCAACATCATCACAGTCAAATAAAATGAAAACAAGTTACTCTTTGCACGGTTGGGTAGTTTGGTTGGTCTTGCAGTTCCAGAATCAAATCCCAAGATATCTGGAGGGTCCATCGGGTTCCCCAAATACAAACTGAGAACGAACAAATTTAGCCCAGGTTAAAAAAGCTGCAGGACAAAATTAAATCAAATGTCTAAGTACATATGACACACAATTTTCTGCTCGGAGAACCAAATCTGGACTTAAATGCCTTAATATCAACTTCTGAAACAGCGGTGGGCTCTGCTGCCCTCTAGTGAAGAGCTGTGGTAACTGCACTGTAAATACGGTTAGAAGTTTCTAAAGAAGTGATATTCATTTCATTAAAGTGGATATCACTTTAATGAAGTACAAAAGTCTGAATTTATTGTATATTTCCTTCACAGGAAATATACATCCAAGTACATACATTAATTCAGCTACATTGTCTCCACTTTCTTGGTTGTTTCAACAAATAACAACCCCAAAAACACTTCAAAAATTGTTTGGGGATTAATAAAGCAGGTCAACATCCAGCTTTTTGAAGTGCACATGTTGAAGTTTGCAAACCATGTTTTACTGTAGAGCTACTTAATCTACTGGACATCAACTCTCCTCTAAAAACTAGTTGGTTTGGCAAGATATTCAAGAACAGCTCTTATACAGGTTTCACCAACTGAAATTAAGACTTTTTAAGACCAGAATGAATAAATATAAGAACTACATGACAGAGATGTACAAAAAACAATGCAGGGAGCAAAACTGAAATTTTTGTGGTTTTTGTGGCTCTTGGCAGCAGCTTTGGCATATGACTCATTAACTAGCTAGCTAGTTAGCAAACAAGTAATACTGAGTTAATAATCAGTCAGTTTAGCTGGGGTTCACCTGTCAATGCGGTCTGCGTGTCCCCAGCTCCTGTGAGGGTCCGTGTCTCCGTGTCCAGTGTGGATGAAGGAGTGTTTCAGCGGCCGGCTGATGTCCTGGGCGGACAAGCCGGCCACGGACGTCACGACGTGCCGAGGAAACAGACCGACACGCAGCGTCCGCCGGTTTTGCCCGCGCCACCAGTAATGCTCCGCCCTGAAGACAAGGTCGCAAAAAAAAAGCAGAAACTAATTTTTTCTTTAATTTCCGTTGAAAACTTTTGACCCATCAGAAGAGTTGAAGGCCAGTATGAGTTTGGTTTCTTCTAAGATCAATGTAATTAAAACAACACATAAAACAGGGTTTCTCTCAAATTTAAGACTTTTAAAGAGCATTAAAAAGTTTTTAAGACCTGCATTTCATCAGAAATGTACAAAAGAAAGTTAATCCCCAAAATCCCAATCTTTTTTAACAGAATCAATGCAGCTTGATAGACGTACCTGGCTCCCATTGAGCTGGAACATCATCCAGCCAAATGGTGATAAATTTGAATTTAAACAATGACAGACAAAAAAACAAGCTTGCAAGCTAACTAGCTCACTTTTAAGCTTGACAGCTTATTCCCCCTGCAGGAACCAGAACCAATGATTCCTGCTAATATAGATGTTAATATAATTTGGTTAGTTAGCAGGGGAATATTAGCTGTTAGCCAACAGTAGCCTGAACCGCCTCAAGTCACAGAGCACAATGAAGAAGCAACTCAAGCGTCCCATGAGAAAAAAAAGGCTACCTAAAATACACAAGATTAAACAGTAATGCCACCACAAAATGTAAGACCTGCGATTAAGATATTCAAGCAAAAGTTATCTTAAAAAAAAAATACAAATTTAAAACTTTTTAAGATGTTAATTTTAAGATAAACAAATTTAAGACTTTTTAAGGACGTAAAAGTTTCAGCTGCCTCAAACTGTTTCAGCTGGTTTGCCACACTGACCTTCCCTCTATGATTGTAATGACGTCGTTCATCTGAATTTGGAGTTTTTCTTCTTCCTCGAAGTCCTGCAGGGCCCTCATGTCTGTAGGCAACGTCTGATGAAACACAAACAAAGAAGTAGAGGAGCTTTTATATGCATCCTTAAGACATCCTCTTGTGAAAAATATCACACTTGAGAGTGATTCAACATCAAATGCATTGTGTTACTGCTGTAACACTCTTCAGATTGGAAGTTATTACTGAAAGAAAAAGTATTTTAGTTGTTTTTATTATCACTGAAGTGATCCAAGTGAATTGAAAAGGAGACGTTTTTCGTTTCCAATAATTTTGGTAGTTTCACACAACTGCTACTTAATTTTGAATGATCTTTTTTATTGAAAAAATGTTTTTTTAACAAAAACCTTCTCACTTCACAAAGAAGAAAAAAAAAACTATGTTCTTGTCATCTTTGGTTCAGAATGGGCTAAAATTGGTATCAACAAGTCAGATAATCTAAAATTATCCATAAAAATCTCTACTTTTAAACCCATTGTTCTACGAATACATGAGATAAACGAGGTGAAGTTGAGTGACCTCGAGCAGAAAGTCTCTGAGAGCGATGAAGGTGGGCCGGTCATCAGGTTTGGGGCTCCAGCACTGCAGCATGACGTTGTAGATGTCTTGAGGACAGTCGTCAGGTTTACACAGCCTCTCAGCCTCAACATCAACCTTGTGGAGAATCTGCAGATGAGAATTCATTTCTCAGAAACAAAAAAACAAACGTATTTATTGTTCTGTTAAAGGGGACCTATTATGTGTTGTGGAACAGGTTATGGTAGGCCTAAACAAAACATGTTCATTACTTTTATGCACAAAATCATTCCTGGGAAACAGTCTGTTCGGTTCTGCTTTTCTGATTGGGCAGTTTTAGGGCCTCTGTCACTTCAAATCCAAATAATCTGCTGATGGTCACAACCCCCAACTCAATGTTTATACAGTCACAAGAAAATGGCTGTCAACAGTTGCACAATTACACAACCGTTCGTCTTTGAAAAGCGTCAGTAGAGCCTCCTGCACAGCCAACAAGAATGCAGCAAGTGATTTCTGGGTTGAAAGTCAGCAACAAAACACTTGTCTGTTCCAGCAGCCATTGTACAGGGCATATATGCTGGAGATCAGTTTGGGTTGCTAGGTAACGGGCAGAGCTCTGCTGTGGTTGCTAGGTAACGACACTATTCCCATTGAAAGTGACGTAATCCAGAAGGTTTTGAAATGGCTAATTTTCCAGACACCAAAAAACATAAACTTCTTGCCAAAAGATGGCTGGCAGGTTTTCCTGATCTGTTTTTAGAAGGAGTTGTGACCCAAGTATAAAATGTCTCCTTTAAGGTTTTATTGTGTAGAGTGAACAGACGTACCTGGCTCCCATTGAGCCCGAGCCACGGCTCCTGTCCATGGCTGAACATCTCCCACAGGGTGACTCCAAACATCCAGGTATCAGACGCGTGAGAGAAAGTGCGAGACTTCAGAGACTCTGGAGCACACCTGGACAGAAACAGGAACAAAGATGTAGAGCTGGCAAATCAAAATAATAATAATAAAGAAAAGAAGGAGCGGCCTGCTTTCCTCACCAAGGAAAAGGGATTTTGTGGCCTTCCTCCATGATGTATTGATCAGTGTGAGTAGGTAGCGCTCTCATCAAGCCAAAGTCTCCAATCTTCACCGTTTCATTGGTGGACAGCAGGACGTTGCGGGCGGCCAGGTCTCTGTGGAGGAATCGCCTCTGCTCAAGGTAGGCCATTCCACTCGCCACCTGTACAAATGCACACAATGACAAACATTCAAGGGCTTACATATAAAAGTCAGTACCTTTAAAAAACTAAAACTGACCTGTACGGCGTAGTTACACAGAATCGAGATGAGGATGTGACCCTGACGCTTTCTGAGGCGATCCAGCAGGGATCCCAGAGGCGCCAACTCAGTCACCTAACAACAAAACATGAGCAATGATCGGGATGCAGTCAAAGTGTTCATACATACTTATCACGGCGCAAGTCAGCGCCTTAATCCATTTTAATCAATTCAATCAATTCAACATTGATGTTTACAGACACGATTCAGTCCAGCTCAACCTGAGCTTAGGTTGGACTGGTGCAAAGCTGGTAGAGACGTACAATAAATCGGACACCTGCATCGATGAGAACAGGAACGACGGTTATAAAATGTATCGACTCAAGAGGTGCTATGAATGAAATTAGATAACGACCCCATGAGCTCCTGTTGGACAGTCTTAGGTAAACTTGAGAATAACTGCAACTCTTCCAAACACAGTGGATCCTTTCAAAGTAAAACAGTTTTTGAATAAGACTCCTAACGTCAGAGAGAAAACGCTCAGGAATTACCATCTTCATGGGCTGCGTTAGGACGACTCCGTAGAGACTGATGAGGTTCTGGTGGCTCAGTGAGTGCATGGCGTTCACCTCTCTGATGAAGTCATCCAAACCATCTGAGTCCAGCACGCCGGCCTTCAGACACTTCACTGCTACGGACAGCTGAGGAAACAAAAAGCTGCAGTCATTTTCTGAAACTCTGTAAATACCCTGCAGAGAAACGTTTGTCTCACCACTCTGCCGTTTGGTGCGGTCCACTCTCCTCGCCGCACGACTCCAAATGTGCCGTCCCCGAGTCGCTCAAACAGTTGCATCTCCGACTCTTTGATGAGGCAGGTGAGCGAGTCTCCAGGCTCGCTGCTGGCTGCAGGTAGGACCGACGATGCACCCTGCTGGGGGTCGGTGTCTGACCGCTTCACTGGAAACACCTGCAGACAATCAATAACAACCATTTACAACTTACTGGTTATTAACTGTGACAAGCAGAATCATTTACCATGTCTGGGTAATCAACAACTTCAATAAGTGACGGCAACCGAATATCAACTATTAATATATAGTGGAAACAGACATAACTACCACTTAGTAATAACTAACAAATACTTATCACCTCTTAATATTAACTGACTAATAAATATCACTAAGTAATGCTAACTGACTATTAACTATTATACAGTAACTGACTAATTATCTCCAGGTAATAACTAAAATAGCTGTTACTATTAATATTAACTGACTATGAACTATCACTTAGTAATGATAGCTGACTGTTAATAAGTGATGGTGACTCACTATTAACTGTTATTAATTAATGCTAATTAACTATTAACTATCATTAAGTAAAGGCAACTAATTATGAACTATTAGTTATGGTAACTAGCTGTTAAGTAATGGTAACTCACTATTAACTCCTATTAAGTAATGGTAATTTATTATTAATAGTGATTAAGTGACTCACTATTGACCGTCACTTAGTACTAATGACTGACTAATAACTATTATTAAGTAATGATAGAAGACTAATAATTATCACTTAATGTTGTAAGGTATGTATATATGTACTTTTAATTGAGTTACCCTGTTGAGACATTTTGCTTGCTTGTCACATTCATATTTTAGATTCCTCGTTTTATAAATTTACTGTCATAAATCTGGAGACACTGCTCAAAATTATAAACAATGCATCAAAATGTTTCAACCAGCACTTAACATACCTATTTTTAATTGTTTATTAGGATATATAAGCTTCCCTCTCAAGTTTTAGTGTATTACTAAGTCTTCTCATTAGTCAATGTTGTATTTAATGCACCTTGCTCATCCAGGACTTGCGTTTATAAAGGGCTCTTCTTCTCTTCACCGCCTCCCAAAGCCGCCTCTGACCTGATCCAACAAAACAAAGCCAATAATAATAACAAACACTGTTGACTGCATTTACAACTGAGAATCATTTGATGATCATTCAGGTCGTCACACACTTAAAGGCATAAAATAATCCAAACACTGGCTCTCACCGGGCCGCCCCATGCCGATCTTTTCCAGATCTTCATTCTTGACGTAGTCAAAGTGGGAAAGTCGCGTGACGTTGAGTTCATCCCGGATCCGCAGGAAGTACTGCTGCAGCTGAACATCAGTCAGCAGCTCCAGCAGCCACTCTGTGCCCTCTTCACTCTGCATCTGCACACACACACGCAGACACACACACATTTTATCTGCTTAACGCACTGGCTGCACTGGATGGCATTCAGCTGTAACCTACATGTCTGAATAGATCAGGTTTAATATTAAATATAATCTATACTCTGCGTATTTATTATAACTTGCTTGGGAAATGTTTTAGTTTAGTTTACAATTACTTTCTGCATTGATTTTCCAGAATATATTCCTATTGATTATTAAATATGTAGGAAAAACATCTGAAATGGAATCGAACTTTGAACTTTGAGCTTCTAAAAAATTACAATATCATCAAAAACTTGATTTATTTTAGTAGTTTAGCTTAAAAATGTATTCATTACATACACAGTATTTACATTTCAAGAGTTTAATTTATCGTGTTGATGATTAGTGATGAATCTTGTTAATTGAACAATTACTAGTAAAGACTTTTTTCACTTTTTATATTGATCCGATACAGAAACCTCAAATATTAAACCAAATTGACATGAAATGTTTCTTTTCTTTAAACACAAACATAAATTACAAATTTATTTGCTAACTTTGCACGAATAAAGCTCATTTAAAGCCACCAATAGTTTCATAAGCTTGGTCAAACATATACAAATACAAACTGCAACAAACCTTTTTTCAAATGATTCAGAAAGTTCAATTAGAAATCCCAAATATATAAACAAATAAATTGAATTATGGAGTCTCTGTAAACAAAATTGGCCTTCAAAATAAGAGACCAAAACACCAAATTGAAGACTTTTGTCACCCAGTTTTTGGTAGAAAAAGAGAAAAATTATAATTTATTACGTGATTAATTGATTAATTGCTTATTGCAACAGGCTTACTAGTTACCACAAACTCTTTACTGCATTGGTAAACTTTCTTCCCCTTAACAATTGAAAACCTCATTTTGGATTCTTTGGTATTTAAATTTAGCAAACTGTACAAATTATTTTCTTTCCAGTTATGTTGCTCTGTGACAAAATATCAAAATAAAATCTTGAGGTCTGGAAAGTTTACAAGATACTAACAGATTTGCACCGCGAAGCAGGAATTTATCTCCCATAATTCAGCTGTAATCAGGAGAAACAACCACATTCTGGCTACATTAACCCATAAATGATGTAATGAAAGAAATGCTGCAGATCCACCCACAGCATCAGACTTTCTTTTTACCATTTGTCCCCCGATTCTTCTGCTCCTCTCCTCCTCGTCCTCGCCCTCCCCCTCTGCTCGGGCGTAGGGGAGTCGCTGGTACATGTAGCTCTCCCCCATGCTGGAGCCGCTCCTCTCCTCCTATTCTTGTGCTATTCAAAGGAAGCTCTGCTTTTAGTCCAACGCTAATCTCCTCTCATCTCCGTGACCTCCTTGCGTTCAACCGATGCGACACACACACTCCTCTGCTCGTATCACCTAAAGCAATCTCTGGATCCTCCCTCCCGCTGCTCTTTGCGCTCCCTGCTGACTCACGGCTGCCTGCGGCGTCGGACACCTCCGCGCTTTCCCTTTCTCCCTCTCTCTTCCTCTCTCTCTCCGGCGTTTCCTCCTCCCCATCTGCTCATGGCTCAGCAGCCGATCTCCGCCGTCTGATGGTGCTAAATAATTCAGCTGCTCTCATCAGAGAGAGGATGGAGAGAGATGCGGAGACAGTTCCCAGCATGCATTAGAAAGACGATGCTAAAGGAACGGCCGCTCTGATGGATGAATCGAGGATTTCCACTGATTTAATCAGAGAAAACTCCATTATGAAAAACCCCTGGCTAAGGTTTGACCCCAGAACTGGATAGAAGTTATCGCGATAAACGATTATATTGATGTTTTTGAGACCATTTTCAAGTGATATATAATGGTAATACTGGCAGAATAATGCAAAAACACATTCTCAAAGATCAATAAACTTTAGATTCTAATTAACATTTAACTGGAAGACATTTTAAATATCCAAAATAAATAAACAAAACAACTGAAACAAGAAATAAAATGAATTATGAAGTTTCTGTAAGCAAAACATTTCTTCAAAATAAAGGACTGGTTGAGAGTAATCTTTTTTTATTGTAAAACTGTTTACCTGTGTTTGCCAGTTATTAATCAATCAATCAAGTTTATTTTCGTAGCACATTTCAGCAACAAGGTAGTTCAAAGAGCTTTCCATCACAAAAACTAAATGTCACAAAATTACAGTCACTGATTTGAGAACAAAAATTATCAAAAACATCAGATATGTTGGTCTATGTTCCATTAACTTGCATTAAAATATCCAGAAAGTGATGAATAAAATTTACATTTTGGACATGACAATTCAATACCAAATTTAACCAAAAACAAACCAAAAAAAAAAAACAAAATTAGGTAAATAAAAATTTTAAATTTTAGGATTTTTCATTTGCCTGCATTTTATTTTTTATTTCTTAAGGTTTTAAAAGTGAATTAGCATCAACTACCCAGGTTGGCGAAACAGATTTATGAATTGTGATCCAAGGGCCCCTAATAAAATCACTCCGAGGGCACCGAATGGCCCCCGCGCCACACTTTGAACACCTCTAATGTCAACAGTGGGAGAGTGAATGTGCTACTGTATCCTGCGAGATTCTGCTGTAGATTAAAGCAAAACAAAAAAAAAAGAAATGTTGAGTGGATGTTAAAGTGGGCTGTTGCCAATAGCAACAAGGCTAAACGGTGCATCAAATCAGGGCATATCGATGTTTGCTCGTCTGAAAGGAATGAGCACAAAATGTGAGTCGTGTTTTATGGAGGGCAGAGCTCTAAATATAACAGAGCTAAATTTAGCTTCAGCTGGCCTGGAATCAGCGTGAAGATGCTTCAGATTCACTCTGGACGGTTTGAAAATGAGGAGAGGAAGTAAAAACAACCAAGATGCTCTAATCTTACCAAGATGCTCTAATGGAAACACCTGAAACAGGTACAGCTCAAAAAATAAGAAATGTCATTATTTTTTCACTCATTTCAGAGAGTGAAACTCACAAGGAATTAAAATACTCCAATAAATTTGCAGCATGATTCAATAATAACAGGATTTAGGACCTATAATTCACATATTCAGTGGTTGTACTTGTTTACACTTTATGTTTTATCATTTTAACACCAAACAAAGCCATTCACAGTGGCCATTTTGTAATTTTTCTCCTCTTAAATTCTACATATGATTTTAAAGTCTTTCGAGTTTTTAAAAGTTGTCTTACTATATGTTTTTTATGACAACATTGTTAGATTATTTGATTGGCAAAACATATAAAGGCATAAATGTACAATTCTGGTTAAAATATATTTTGTTTTGCCTTATATTTTACAAATTAAATGAAGAAATCCTTAAAATACTTGAATACCTGCAATATTTTACCAATTTTTCTTTAAATAAATAAATTATATGTGATGCATTGAGTAGCCCTATTGAAGAATAATTTTTTTAAAAACTTTTTTTTGCATTTTACTTAATATAATTACCCACAGTAAGGCTTTTTCCATTAAAACCATAACAATAAAATCTATATTTGACGCCTGTAATGTTCAGTTTCTCCACCAGGGGGATAAAACCGGTATAATTCAACACAGCAGATTTAATTCTGTTAAAAATATAAAAATCTGTGTATTATAAATGTTACTTGGTTTTATATCGCTGATCTTACCCTCCAGGAGTGTTTTTGGTGATTAGCTGCAGTCAGGAGTGACTTAATTAACCCGACGTCAGCTGAAGAAAGCCATGGGTGGAGGGGCGTCACACCTGCAAGAAAGAACAACAAATTTCAGATGAATAGCAAAAACTCAACGTTCAATTTGCTTCTATGGAGCAGTACATTAACTCTGATCTGTAACAACACCAAAAGAGTTTCATTAGAGTCAAGACAAGAATAAATTATTATTTTATTTAATATACCAGAGGAGAAAACCTCCAAAATACAGTTTCATTACGCAGCAACTCCTTCAGTACCTGAACACTGGAAGTCATTTTCATTTTTTTTTTGTTGCTTATTTAATTTTACAACAATCTCCTAACAGTACATTATCTCATCCTCTAATTCATTGGTTAATAAAACCTTATTGAACGTTAATTGAATAAATTTCTTTCCATGGTGGACGATAAAAACTTCAGAAATACACAACCAGGGCTCCTCACCGTTAAATTGATTTATGTTGAGGATTGAAATGGGAAAACACCTTTTCCCATTTACATTAAATGAATAATTAGTGAACAAATTTATACATTAAACTTCCATCTAGTAGATAAACATATATATATATATATATATATATATATATATATATATATATATATATATATATATATATATATATATATATATATATATATAATTTAAGATTGTCTCTACAACCAAATAATTCCTCTACTTTTTGTCAGAAAGTTGTGTTACCTCAGTTGTCCTCTGGGTGGTGCTGTAGAACAAAAGGATGAATGCATAAACCAACAGATTGGTAGATTGGATGAAAAAAACCAATGGATGGATGATGGATGGATAAACCAATGGATGGATGGACCAACTGATGGATGAATGGTTGGATGGACAAACCGATGGTTGGATGGATGGATGGTTGGATGGATGGGTGGTTGGATGGATGGATGATGGATGGATAAACCAATGGATTGGTGGATAGATGGATCAGTCAAAGTGATGAGAGAATGGATGGACAGAAAAATGAATGAATGGATATACAGTGGATGGATGAATGCTCAAATACAGAAGGATGGATGGACGAACAAACGGATGGATGGACAGATGGTGACTAAATGATCCGGTCCACAGTAAGGTGTCTTAATTCTCCCTATGAGCTGAATGATGTGTTCAAGTGTTCGGTAAAATCTGTACCAGTTATGTCTTATTAGAAAACAAACCTCAGACTTATTAATATCAATTAATATTTTGTTTATGGTTTATAACAAAATGTGCTGCTTAATGACAGATTGGTTTTCCAATTTTAAAGAAACAGAAAAGTATTTAGTTAGAGTAGTGTAACTTGTAAACAGAGGAGTCTTGAACTGATTCTCGGTCAGTCTTAAGCTGATTACCATTCCGTCGCATTCGGTCAACTCCAGCTCCTCAGCTTCGGTTCAGTTTGTCAAGGCGACATTCTCCGTTATTAGCTTTTATTAGCTTCATCCACTTTATACATTACCAGCTTATATCACAGCAACATGTAGCAAAAACAAACCCCAGCGCACACACCTCAGAGGATGGAAATGAAGCCGAGGCTCCCCGCCGGTCAGTCCCCCTCCCTCCTCATCCTCTCCCGGCCGCACCGCTCCCCGGCGGGAAGCCGGAACGGGTTTACTTTTATTCGGTTGAATTCGGGCTTTAGCTCCGTCTGTTCTCTGCCTCCCGGTATTCCTTAACTGTCCGCCGTGATTTGAGCGTCGCGTTGCGTAAGAAAGAAACGTCAAGACGCTACGGCGCTTTTAGGGTTCGGATTGCTCGTGACCCCCCGCTTAGGCGATGCGTCACAGAGTCCGCCATATTGTGAGTGGCAACACTATGTTAATGAGGCGGGAAAAGTATGCTGGGAAACTGAGTTTGCTCAATAATAATAATAATAATAAGTTTATTAGAATAAAATTAGATTGATCACCTGATTTACCCAAAATGCTACAAATACAAATAAAAGCGTGAATATCAACACACTTAAAATGCATCACTTATTAAAAAAAGCCGAATTTTACAAAATGAAAAATAAAATGATAGAAATAGTCATTTTGATCCACTAAAAAAATAAAGTTCTCCAAACCATTTAATTATTTAATGTATTTTTAAAAAATACATTTAAAAATTAAGAATTCTGTAAAACAAACATGCTAATTTCCCTCTGAAGTTGTAAAGAGCAACTTAATTTAATTAAACTAACATTGGTTTTGCTACTTTTTTTTCCCAAATATCTAAGTTTATAATCTGATCAATAGCTTAGCTCATGTACAAAACCTCAAATTTGTATTTGAATGAGACATAATGCATATTGAAGAAAATAGATAAATCTTTCACCAGTAATGACAAAGTGACAAAAGAAAAACAAAATTTTTCACATTTTACTACAATTAAGAGGATATTGGACATTTGTCATGCAACAGTTTAGCTTGAACCATTCTCCTGATCAGAGGAATTTTAATTCATTTTCATTAGTTTAAAAACTGCAGGTACAATGATTGTTGCAGCACAACTCATTTATGCCTTACTGGGGCAATTTATGCATTGGTTATATTGAAGAGCAGACAGCAGGGGTAAGTGATGCTTCGCCAGAGTTTATTAAATTTTTATGCTGAATTTAGAAACCACATTACAGATTTCATATTTGATATTATACATGCCATCAATTTGAAGAGGTTTAGACACAGTAACTGAATTAAAACGGTATTTTGAGACATTCTTTTGTTTATTTAAACAGATTTAACAACCAGATCGAACATTTATGGAAATGAATTCATGATAGCAAGATTTGAAACAAGTTTAGGTTACAGTATAATGAGAGGCAAATGCATGCATTGAATAATTCTTATGTAGCTTGTGAATTGCTTTTACGCAGCAATATATTTGGCGGTAGTGAGGCTTACAGTATTTTAGACACTAATGATAAGAACATACAGTAAATCTAAAACAAGACTTGAACTGCTGATTATCTAGAAGGGAGAGGAGGGCAATCGTTAAAAACAACTTTTCAAGATGAGGAGCGTTAAGTAGCTAAACCGTCTAAAACCAACTTATTCTCAGAATTTTACAATTTCATTCTTGTAATTTTAAGACTTTATTATCCTAATTTCACAACTTTATACGTTTTATGATTTTATTCTCTTAAGTTTTCAACTATGTTCTCAATTTATGACTAATTTTACAATTTTATTGTAAACCTTTACAATAAAACAAATTTGTTCTAGTAATTTTACAATTTTACGACTTTATTTTCACATTATTCTGATTTTATTCTTGTAATAATGAGTTTTTCTAGAGATTTTTATATTTTATTCTTGCAGTTTTATTTATTTTCTAACATTTTATCTTAGCGTAGCCCTAATATTCTGCCGTATGTTTGCAATCTGATATTGAAAACATTCAGATTATAATTTATTGCTCAAGTCTAAATGCACCAAATGTTGACAACTATAAATTTCTAATTGTCGACTGGTCCACTGCCCGCCTCTCCCAGTAAAGTTCATCCAGTGTTAAACCACTTTAGAAACCTAAACAGGAAAATATAGCTGCACAGAAACTACATAGGTCCAGAAGCTTGTTTTTAACACACACATAAAAACCCAACAAATTAATATTTCAAGTATAAAACTCTGGGAAACACTGTCCCCGATAAGCTGTTCCACCGTTGAAGTGAAATATGAGAGGCACTGCTCCCGATAAATACACACAAACACAAAAAATACACATAAAATGGTAGACAAAAGCTACCGTCACTGGTCGGCATTATGGGAGACTCTGCTCCCGATAATGGATTTTAATTATGGAAGGCACTGCTCCCGATAACGCCATGATCCTAATACGTGCTCCAACGCAGACCGTGCAACATAAACGGCTTTTTAGCAAATTATGGAACCAATTTGAGCCTTAAGGTTGCACAGAATCATTTTACCAAATATTGACTTTAGGTAATTAGAGGAGGGGTGTCCAAAGTGCGGGATAGGGGCCATTTGAGGCCCTTGGAGTGATTTTTGTGGCCCCCAACTGCAATTAAAAAATTATACAAATTTGGCCCAGAGATGGAGATTTTTAATTTTTAATAAGGGTAAAATTTTTACCAATATAATTTTCATATAAATGATCATCTTTTTACACCCAAAAATTTTTTCTTGAAAATTCAATTTTTCTTCACTTAAATTGATTTAATTATTTTAATAAACTAGGAAAATGACCTAAATTCTACCATTATTACAGGAAATAAAATTATTCAATCAAGTCTAGACAAAACTGAAAACAGCAAACATCCAAAATCTACAATAGTACGTCAGGGTATCATCCAGGAGAAAAGAAGGAGTAAATTTCCACTAAACAATTCAGAAATTTTGAGATTATTCTCACAAAATTTTCTACCAAAAACTTAAAAATTTCTGTGTTTCAAATGTTGAATTTCTGATATCAATCAACACATTTCTGAAGTTTATGGTGGAGATTTACTGCGCCTTTTATTTATTTTCATTCTTCACGACGGCCCTTTTATGTCGTCATGAAAATCCTTTACAAGTTTCAAAATTACAATAAATGCAATAAAATAATTTAAAAATTGGTCTACTTTATTTTGTTGGGTTTTTTTTTTGGACTTTTGAGTCGACAAGTTTGACTTTGGACACCCCTGAATTGCTCAAATCCAGAAAAAACAATTGCAAATTTGGTGCGATTTTCTATATTTTGTTTCTCCCAGCAGATATTGAACATCTGGAGTTCAAACGGGAGACGTGTGAGCCAGGAGAGTGAAATCCCAGCGTTATCCGATGCACCTTTTCTTCAGCAACAGTAACGGAGTCATTGTAGTAGCAGATGCTGCTGTGGCTTTCGACAGTATAACCGTCATAATTATGGAAGGCACTGCTTCCGATAATGCTGTATAAAAAGACAAACAATAAATATAGTGGGCACTGCCACTGATAAATATCAAACAAGAACTAAAAGTATAAATAAGGTTTCAGTGCTTTGAGGAGGCGATTTGTTTCAGGTTCACAGTTGTTTCTTTTTCTAGATTTTGTGATTCGCTTGTGCTTCAGGTATTTAAACGTTGGAGCACTATAATTAACCTTCAAGCAGCTTCACACACACTCACACACAGATTTCCTGTTTCCTGCTTCAGATTTCGTCGTCGATGTTCCAGACGTTGGCGGCCATGGCGTTGGCGCATCCCTGCAGGTTCCAGGTGGCCAGAGCCAGATGGAGGCGGAGCTTCTCCAGATCCTCGGCTTCAGCGATGGCCGCCAAGGTGTGGGGGCCGCAGCCCAGCAGCAGGTGGCGGAACGGGGCCTCGACGACGGAGACGTACGGAGAAAGGAGGGAGTGCTCAACCTGAGAGAGGAAACACAGAAAGACGTTTGGCTTTATTAACAATTCAATTCAATTCAATTCTGAATGACTTCAGTTATCCTAAAAGGGAAAATAAATGTCGTAACACAATCTTACCAGGTAATTGTGGTCTAGTTTCTGGTGCACATATCTTATTACACTTGATAGAAGACAAAATAACCTTCCAGAGAGATTCATTAGCTTGTTTTAAGTAAATAATTTCTTAATTTTGATAAAAAAGTGCTAGTTTTACTGGCAAATTGTTATAACTTGGGAAAATGTAACTAATGGAACTAGAACTTTTTCATCAATATTAATGAATTATTTACTCAAAGCCTCTATATCTTGCTGTAAAGTTACTTCTGAGTTAGTTTGTTATTTCAAGTTTAATATTTGCACTAGAAACTAGACCAAAAGTCCTTGGTAATATTTTGTGTTTTTGCAGTGAAAAGTGAGACGGATCTATGATAGCAGTCAGTCTCACAACCACTCTGAAGAGGCCTCTGACAGACAGTCGTATGACAAAATGTGTTCTTATTACAAATGTGTGCAAACTTTATTTATATTCAACGTTTGTGTTGAAAAAACACAATCTTGCCATTACGATGGCAAAGAATGGAAGATAAAGGTTTATGAAAACATCTGGCCACAGTTGTGGTTTGGTTTACAGCAAGTGAATTACACAGTTGGACCAGAGAGGGGAGAAGAAATACAAAATCAGGACAATAGTTTCTACTTCTGCAAAACGTTCTCCTTACTTAAATAAACCGTAATCACTGTCCATTGCGATCTCACCTTCATGATTCTGTCGTTCAGGATTCGACAGGATTCCTTATCCGTCAAGTCCGTGTTGGCGATGTCGTTGGCGATGGCGTCGGCCGCTCGCTTGTACGAGCCGCGGGCGCGATTCAGCCAGTTGGGACTGACGTCCTTCAGCTGACCGGACTAGAAGGAAGAAAACACAGCATGAACACTTTTAGGGAATATATCTAGATCACAGGTGCCGGTTTATGAATGTCCAAAAAGGGTGATTGAGGCGCTATGTATGCATAAAACTACCTGTTAACAGCTGCGTTCGATTAGCTCTCCTCAAAACATAACAGGTTTAACATCTTTTCACATTGATGTAATTTACTAATATTCACTTAGTCAATAAAATCAATTCATCACCCAGCCATAATCAAAATTATCCATTTAATTAGATTAAAAACATGAATCCTAAATGTGAATCAGGTGGAAAAGGTCCTAACTTGAGTGAGCTGGTTGACCCGTTTGTAGACCTGGACCACAGCTTTGGTGATGGGGCCGTAGTATCTGCTCACATCCAGACCCAGCAGGTGGTCATGGACCAGACGCAGCGTCATCAGGCCGGCGAACTGCGCCGCCGTGGCCATGACGTTGCTGGTGCGTTGGCCCGTTCGGTAGTTCAGGTGGTCCATGTTGTCCAGGCCGGTGCCGTAGTAAGGGTACGACTCGGACTTTAAACAGAACCACAACAAAAGCCATTAATTGAGCTGCAACTTCAGATTCATTGAGCAACTGATTATTTTGGTAATTAATAGATTTATCCTAATCAAAAATGGACGCATTTTGCAGATATTTAATTTAAGCACTTATGCCTATTTAATATTAAAAATACACAAAAAAATAAAGAAAAATGTAAGTCGTTTTATAAATAAAAAATGTCATTTTACTGCCTAAAATGCAATAACAGCATCATTTTTAAGGATTTCAAAAACTGGGTAGGATATATTTACAAAGAAAGATTTTTTATCTTAATTGCAAAATGCATGTTTTGGTTTTTTTTTACAGTTTTTGCTTTAATACTGCTTTGAGCATGTAGTTCTCCCATCAAATATATCACGATTAATCTGACTGATAGTTTCAGCCCAAACTGTTAACTGAAACCCTTCAGAATAAAACAATATTGATGTTTTAAGAGTAAAACTTACATCTGATTGGGTGAAGTGGAAACACATGGAGGGAATTCCAGCAAAAGCCAGGAAAGGATAAGCTGGATCTTCCATCGACATCGTCCTCAGTCTGCAAGCAGGACAAATACTTTTTTTAAAATAAGTTTTTTCCTATGGTACAGATGCATTTGGCTTAAAATACTCAATTTAAGACTGATTGTTGCGTTAAATTGTGGGATTATTAAACTACAAAAGCACAAAGTTGTAAGTATTTTTGTCTAGATTCATTTACAAATATCTTAGTACACGTGAAATACGAAAAAATTAAGTTACAAGAAACTTTTCAGCAAGAAATAGGAGAAATGCATAATTCCTTAATATTAATGGAAAAAATTCTACTTCCATTGGCAGATTATTTCACTCGTTAAACATTTTTCTCATCTTATAAATTAAATAATCTGCCAATAAAGCTTGTACTTTTCTCATCTATATTAAGGAATTATAAACTTAAATCAAGCTTCCATGTATTGCTGAATATTGTAAGTTAGTTTTGTCTTATTTAAAGAGTAGAAAAATATTTTCACTAGAAAAAAGACAAAAATACTTGGTAATATTTTGTGTTTTTGCAGTGTAATCCCAAATATGTGCAGCGTAAAACAAGTAGATTATTTTAAAATGGATTAATTCAAATGTATCCATTTTAATTATTGTTAGTTTGGTTGTTTTGTACCTCAGTTTTTATAGATAAATACCTCTGTTCCTTTGTCTGTAATGTTTGTTTTATTTGAATGGCAAATAAAATAAATAAATAATAAAATCTCACTTGATTTGAAAAATAAAATCATTTCAAGGGAATCTCCTACTTACACTCTGGACTCCCAGTTATTTCCTCCCATCGCCTGGTAAATTGAGACAGATGTTCTAGGCATGTTCACCTGCAAGAAACAGACAAATGTCACAATAAATCAAATATTCACAGGATTATTCACAAGGTTGATTATTTACATTTGGACAACAACAGTTAAAAAGATACTTCCCTATAATACTATTATGAAGCCGCCATTTTGAAAAATACTGCAAACATTTGAGTAAAAAATCCTAACTGGCACTTTTGTGTGTTTTTAATTTTGATAAATACTTTATGATCTATTTTCATTGTTGTTTTGGTTGTTTGTTGATTTAACTTTGCGATTTAAAATGTTTACCAGTTACATTACAAGCTATTCTTTAGAAATTGAAGTTTTTTTTTATTATTATAATCTTTGGGAGGGTGTACTAATATGCCATTTTTATTATTATCTGAAAAATGGCCTTAAAATGTCAATATTGTCATTTATCTCAATAATTTATTGCCCAGCAGTTAGAGTCAGCTTGCGGTTCATAATAAAGTTGTGTTTTACCTCCTTCATCGTGCTCTCAATAAGGCTGTACAGCAGCGGACTTGCAGAGGCGATGAATCTTTCTTGACCTGTCAGATATAAACTTAATCAGTTTTAGCCACTTTTTCCAACATGTTTTGGTTTTTAGAGTGCATACCCATGACTACTCCATCCAGGTTGATGTATGTGAAGACACTTCGGTCAAGAGAGGACATGTAACCCTAAAAACAACAAAACAGAACAACTTATTTAAGCACTTTTCTCCCCAAGCAGAAAGTTCAGTTTAAACATTTAATTCTTACCTCCAGCCACTCGGTGGCGCCAATGTTTCCAAACTCTCCAGCGCTCCAGCTTGCAAATATTATGCTTCTTCTTGGTCTGAACTCATCTAAAACAGGAAACATTTTTAAAGTTTTAAACCAGCAAAAATTCTCAAACTTTTCAATCTGAATGTTCAGTTTTTCTTTATATGAAAGCATATAAAGCTTTTATGGTGAAGGAAGAATAAGACTCCTCCATATTTTTAGATAAAAATGTTATAATTTTCCAGATTTTAAACATAATATTTTGTTATTTTTGAAATCTAAAACTCTTCACATTGTGGATTGAGGACGAGCGTTTCCAACACCAAATTCAGATTCTTGAGTTATTATTTGGTTTGTATAAAATATATATTTTTTAAATAGATCAATTTTATTTTGCTCCTTAGCATTTTCGCTAATTTTAAAATCCATTAGCTTCCCTTGAATAGATTTTTCTGGATAAATTCTAAACTGTTAATTTAATTAGCATTTTTGTAAACATTTTATTGAATAAAATGCAACATTTGTGTTGAAGTTAAAGCAGTTTATAATTTATATTCATGCTCTTATTCTGAAGCACGTGAAGACTGTTTAAGCTTCCGTTTCTTCTCCTCACATTTTCTTTTTCTTTCCCACCCAGAAACTTTATTTCAAATAAAGGAGCAAAATAAAACATGAATAGTAAAGAACAAGACATAAACACATGCAATATCGAAGGGAATTTAATTCCTTTAGAGTTAAAAAACTTCTTAACTAGCAAGTGGCCATTCATGGCAACATGGCAAACGTCAGACTGAACTTATAAATCCCTGCGCAGACTGCCGGCTAGATAGGTATCCAAGATGGTTTAAGTTTGGGGTGACATCTTCACCAATTTCACTGCAAAAAAACAGTGTCCTACCAAGTAATTTTGTTCCAGTTTCCAATGCAAATTTGCTAATACACTTGAAATAAGTCAAAACTAAATTACAAGCAACTTTTCAGCAAGAAATAACTCAATAATTCCTTAATAATGATGAAAGATTCCTGGTTCCATTGGCAAATAAATTCACTTACAACAAAATATGTTTACCTTGTTATAAGTAAAATAATTTGAACAAATTATTGACTAAAAATAAGTTTAAGTTAGTTCTGTCTTGTTGTATTAACATATTGGCACTAGGAACTAGACCAAAATACTTTGTAAGATTTTGTGTTTTTGTAGAGTGGCTGCTGCCTATCGTTTGTTTTTCCTGGTTCTTACATTCAAAAATAAAAGTAAATCATAGTAAATGTAAAATGAGTAAGAAAAACATGATATTTACAATTAAACTTCTTACCTTTTTTCACCATCTCTTGGAAGGCCTTGGCCAGTTCGATCAGCACCGAGGTGCCAACAGTGGCCATGGTGTAACCTCTGCCCCAGGCATCCCTCTGTGCTCCCAGCACAACATAACGATCTGAATATTCAATTAAAACTCAGCTCAGAACCCTTACATTTAATAAAACTCACAAAACAACAGAAAAAACCTACCAGGATCAGTAAATCCTTTGATAACGCCAAACACATTGTGGATCTCCTTATTGACCAACACGTTGTTCACCTCCACAGTGACGTTCTGGCTGCCACCCAGCTTGTAAACCACAGACTTTAGCTCACCTTTGAAGTCACTGTTTGCATCTACTTCAGGGCCACCAATTTTCCTGAGGACGACAAACAGAAAAGTTAATTTTATTTTTCCAAATTAAGAGGTTTTAATGATTTATGCTAATAACTGACAAAACTGGGTTCATAATTTTGTATTTATTGTGGATTTTCCATTTTGGACACTCATAATTATGCAAATATATTAGTACATCCTCCAACTCCTCCACCTGCTTTGTGAAACTTCTGGAAAAGTCCTTGAAAGGCCTTCATCTATTCCAAATGTGAATCTATAGATTAGGTCTGAATCATGGATGCAAACAATTAATCAACTTAGAGTTAATTGTGGATTAATGATTTATTAGATTAAAATCTAATGTCCGCTTTGACCTTCTTTTAATGTTGTAGTTTGGCCGCCATCCAGCAGAGGGCACCGCTGGTCATTCTTATGCAATATTAAAATTTAACAATTTTTTAATACTATGAAAAATTTAGTCCTTTATGTTAAGGTAAGGAGAAAATCCAAGTTTTTCTTTGCTGCCAAAGACATTAGAAATTTTTAGATTGATCTCAAAAATTTATAACAAAAAAAAAAAGAATTTGAGTTTGAAAAGTTTAAAATGTGCTAAAAATTAAGAAATTTTTTAGGTTAATCTAAAACATTTCTAGAAAAAAATAGACATTTTCTGAGCTTGAAAAGTGTAAAATGTCTGACTTTTGAAGATCAAAATTTTCCAAAGTTGATTTGGTTTTACATTTGAAACTCAGAAATTTGTACATTAAAAAAAATTCTGAGATTATTCTCAAAATTTTACTTTTCTTCCTCCTCTCAATCTACAAAGGCCCTAATTCATCATATGTAGATTCACTCATTAATTTATAACTTGCATCTCTTTTCTGAATCCACAATGAAATTCAAACTTGAGCACCCAAATATCGTTTTTAAGAATAACCTCCACCCTGAAACAAAAAGGTTCAGCTACATCTGTCATGCAGTGTCGTTAAGTTGCTAACATTAGAAGAGTTGCAGCTGAGCTGGCAGTGATGGTCTGGGCCGGGATCTTTGGGAGGCCAGCTGACTCCGTTGGGGCAAACAGGGTATGGTTGAAGGACGGGAATCCAGGGGTGTAGGGGTCACCAGAACCAAGATGGACCTGGAATCAAAAGATGAATGAATAGGAAACCTTTTCTTTTTGGTTTCCTGCTGGGTCATAACCCCTTGCAGAGTGGCGAAAGAGGTACTTGGTGGAAGGCAAAAAGCTGTTCGACGACGACGACTACCATTCGTTTTAGCTGTTGAGTTATCTTAAATATATCTGTGATGTATATAAAAGCAAAAGGGATGCAGTACTTTGCTACTAATAGTCAACACTACAACAAATAGATGAAGTCAGAAAAAGGTTTTAACTAAGAATAAAATAGCGAGGGAGAGGAAAGTAGTTTGGTTGTGCTGGCTTGACGTTGATAACCATAACATGTAGATGTGATGTGGAATTCTGTGTGTTTCGGTTCAGTTACAATAAAAAAAAAGGCGCCGCACACACCAACTCTCTGACCGATCATCAGTAGAGCAGGTGTTTAAATGAGCTAATCAGTGAGCCAATCAACTACCGCTGTTAGATTAGCTAATAGCAGTGGTAGCTAATCTACTACAGTAATCACTTATTAATAATCGCAAATGAACAAAAGCCTAAAAACAAGGGACGGATCAGCACACCTCTACTAAAAACATAACACTGTAACGGACTGAATGTTCTGTTCTTTGTGTGGGAAATGCTTGGGTGTTTTTTTTTAGTGCTGAATCCCGATACATTAGTAGCTTTGTTATCAGTCAGTTGCTATGGCAACAAGTCACGTAGCCGACACTGATATTAAGTTAATCTTAACGGTTTTTCTGCGTTATTTTTCCCTTTCCTGTGGCACACTGCACTAAATTAATAATCCCTGAATCTCTAGGTTTCATTTTGTTGACAGGATTGTTCTACTGCGGCTACAGACGGCATGTAAAAGAATCGTCTTTTTGCCTTCCAGCATTGTGCCTAAAATTTCCAGATGTAAACAATAATGTGCAAAGAATCTGTTTTGAACTGACGTGTCCGTAGAGTTCAGTGTCTGTAGCCAGCTTGTAATCTTCAGTATCAAGGTAGATCAGAACAGCAGAGGCTCCCATCTTGGCGGCGTTGTCCACCTGAAACACCAAAACAGATTCACTTCCTGGTCAAACAACGTTCTTTTCTACATTTTCTCTTGCTCAAAGAAAAATTCAACAATAGTGAATCTAAAGCAAGTAGTGGTCAACCTCAAACCGTTACTTATAGGACCTGTTCTAGTTATTATTTCCAATTGGACAAAAACTGCAGTGAGCATATTTTCAACTGTTTGTAGCAAGTTAATCTCTACTGCAGCCTATATTTTATAACAAACATTAAATATTTATGTATAATATATTCACATTTACACAATATATTTACAATATTTTGTAAGGAATGTTTCTACACTTTCATTATTTGTCTGCTCTTAGTTTGACACAATGCATGTAATTGTAACAGGGTTTTATTTTAACAATATTAAAGATGTGGAGTTTGTCAAAATGTGTTTATTTATTCATTAAAATGTATTCTTGCTTGTCAATAAGTTGTTTCTCCAGACATTAACGCTTTATAGTATAATGTTACCATTTGGCAACAAATCACTTGAAGCCCTTCCACACACATACAGTACCTCCAATTTTATAATGTAGTTCACTGAAAGAAAGATGGGACCCTAGAAAAGCAACAGCAGTGTTTAAATTGCTTTGCCAGTAATCAGATACCCTGTAGGAATAATTAGCTGGCTAAAGGAGGAGATAAAAGCCACAGATATTAAGACTCGAAAACTACTATGCATGGAGGGTTCCACCCCAAATCCAGCACCCTGAGACTGTACACGAGCCGCAAGGAAGGAGGCAGAGGACTAGTGAGTGTGAGAACCACTGTCCAGGACGAAACAACTAAGATCCAAAAATACATCAGGGACAAAGCCTCAACAGACAATGTGCTCAGTGAATGTCTCAGACAACAGGGAACGGAGGTTAGGTGCCAGAGATACCATCATGGGAGGACAACCCCTACATGGGATGTACCACCAGCAAATAACCCAAGTGGCTGATATCAGTAAATCCTATCAATGGCTGGAAAAAGCTGGACTCAAGGACAGCACAGAGGCCCTCATCCTGGCAGCCCAAGAACAGGCCCTAAACACCAGAGGCCCAGATCTACCACACCAGACAAGACCCAAGGTGTAGGTTGTGCAAGGAGGCCCCTGAGACAGTCCAGCACATAACAGCAGGGTGCAAGATACTGGCAGGGAAAGCGTACATGGAACAACATAACCAAGTGGCAGGCATAGTGTACAGAAACATCTGTGCAGAATCTGGACTGGAAACCCCGAAATCAAAGTGGGAAACACCCCCAAAGGTGGTGGAGAACGCCAGAGCTAAGATCCTGTGGGACTTCCAGATCCAGACAGACAGAATGGTAATGGCGAACCAGCCAGACATTGTCATAGTGGATAAACATCAGAGGAAAGCCGTTATGGTAGATGTAGCAATACCAAGTGATTGCAACATCAGGAAAAAGGAGCACGAGAAACTGGAGAAATACCAGGGCCTCAGGGAAGAACTGGAGAGGGCCTGGAAGGTGAAGACTACAGTGGTGCCTGTGGTCATCGGGGCCCTCGGGGCAGTAACCCCCAAACTGGAGCAGTGGCTACAACAGATCCCAGGAACAACATCAGACATCTCAGTCCAGAAATGTGCAGTCCTTGGCACAGCCAAGATACTGCGCAGAACCCTCAAGCTCCCAGGCCTCTGGTAGAGGACCCGAGCTCAGAGGATAAGAACCACCCGCGGTGGGTGAGAAGGGAATATATATATATATATATATATATATATATATATATATATATATATATATATATATATATATATATATATATATGTATATGTGTGTGTGTGTGTGTGTGTGTGTGTGTGTGTGTGTGTGTGTGTGTGTGTGTGTGTAACCGGATCCGATCTGCGTTGTGCTGACCCGAGCTCTGACCCGAGCTCAGAGGATAAGAACCACCCGCGTGAGAAGGGAAATTTTTTTATATAACGCCTTTGTTTTGTTTGTATTACATGTCCACCCACTAGGGGCACTGTTATGCCAGGAGCATATGTTATTGGTTTGTGTTCTTCTTCGGTGCTCTCTGTCTGTCTGTTCGGGGGACGCACATGGCGGAATAAAGTTGAGCAAAGACACGAGTTATTTTTACTGACTAACATTGGTAGCCGAGGATGGTTAGTTACTACAGAGTTCCGCCAACGTTTGAGGAAGGAAAGCCTTACGAAAGCTGGAAGAATGAAGTCAACATTTGGACGAGAGTTACAGATTTGGAGACGAAAAAGTAAGCGCTGGCTGTGGCTGTCGCCCTGGCTCTGTCTGGAAGAGCGCGGGACACTGCCATGGAAATTCCGGTAGACGATCTAAATAAAGACACTGGAATGACCACATTGTTCGCTAAACTAGATGACTTGTTCTTAAAAGAGGAAAAGGAAAGAATCTATTAAGCATACTCGGATTTTGACCGGATAATAAAATAAGTTAACATGTCGATGGCGGACTATATTATTGATTTCGAGCAGCGTTACTCGCGGATGAAGAAATACAACATGGAGCTACCTGACGCAGTTTTGGCTTTTAAGCTTTTGGACACCGAGTGTTTGGAAAAAAAACGGACAGACAGTTGGCTTTAACGGCATGCTCAGATGTAACATTTGCCTCTATGAAGTCCGCTTTGAAGAGAGTATTTGGCGAGAAAAGAGGTGCGGCAGCAGGAGGCATTAGCCGGGAGTCCGTGTATGCAACGGCGGCAAAAAGGCAAGTTCTGGCGGCAGAGTCTCCATCAGAAAACTCCGCAGCCCGGGACAAACCCGCTGGATAAGTACGGACGACGGTCAAAATGTGCAGTGTGCCAAAGTACTTTTCACTGGGTTAAAACTGTCCGCACTAAGCTGACGGTGTTAAAATTGCTGATGATACAAAAGACGTGGAAGAGTGCAGTTTAACTCTGTACACCAAAAAATCACCAACAGATGCAGAAATATGCATGACTGAATGTTTTGGCTCAGCAATAATAGACACTGCTTGCACCAAGACAGTTTGGGGATAAGAGTGGCTGGACAACTATAGTACTGTGTTACAAAAGAAAAGTGTGAAGACTATGAAACAGACAGAAACACAAAGTCACAGACCCTTCAAGTTTGGAGATGGAAAAATCGTCTACTCCATTAAAAACGGTAAAGATACCTGCTAAAATTGGCAATCAATCAATCAAATTTTATTTGTATAGCACATTTCAGCAAGGCATTTCAAAGTGCTTTACATCATAAACACAAGAACACAAAGTCATGCAACATATAATAGACAATACATTGTTACATATTACATTTCAAAAGCAATTCTAAACAGGTGTGTTTTTAATTGTGATTTAAAAGAAGTCAAATTTTTCCAAATTTTTGGTGCATAGATGCTGAAAGCTGCTTCTCCTCTCTTGGTTCTGGTTCTGGGGATGCAGAGCAGACCAGAACCAGAAGACCTGAGAGGTCTGGAAGGTTGATACAACAACAGCAGATCTTTGATGTATTGTGGTGCTAAACCGTTCAGTGATTTGTAAACTAACAACAGTATTTTAAAATCTATTCTTTGAGCTACAGAGAGCCAGTGGAGGGATTTTAAAACTGGTGTTATGTCTCTATCTTTCTGGTTCTAGTGAGAACAGGAGCAGCAGCATTCTGGATCAACTGCAGCTGTTTGATTGATTTATTGGACAGGCCTGTGAAGACGCTGTTACAATAATCAATGTGACTAAAGATAAACGCATGAATGAGTTTCTCTAGATCTGGCTGAGACATTAGTCCTCTAATCCTGGAGATGTTCTTCAGGTGATAGAAGGCCGACTTTGTAATTGTCTTTATGTGGCTCTGAAGGTTCAGGTCAGAGTCCATCACTACTCCCAGGTTTCGGGCCTGATCGCTAGTTTTTAGTTGTAATAACTGAAGCTGTGCATTGACTCTAGATCGTTCCTCTTTAGGTCCAAAAATAATGACTTACAGGAGTCACAAAATGTAATATAGAAACTGAAGTAGTACCTGCTAGCATCCCACTGCTGCTGAGTAAAACCTCATTGAAAAGGGCAGGGACTGTTTTGGACATGGAAAGGGACAGTGCAGTGATGTTCAACCAGCCTGTCAAACTGGACTTTACTAGTTCAGGTCATTACTGTGTGAACATTGTGGACAATGAAAATAGAAATTTCATTCACTCTGATAAGCTATTGCAAGTTAATGAGGAAGAAGTAGTACCTGCTATATATATATATATATATATATATATATATATATATATATATATATATATATATATATATATATATATATATATATATATCTCTCACATCCACTATAAAGCGCACTAAATCTTTTTAGACTGTGGCAGGAAGCCGGTCAAAAGAAGACACCCAGTAGTTCCCCAACTGTTCATGGAGGTTCCAGGAGAAAGTGGAACCGAGTTATAGTGTCTGTCGTCCGTCATTTGTGGTGACAATAAATCAGCTCACTTCTACAGCTATTTGATTCGAGGACAACGGATTGTAAAGGTGGTAGATGAGAATGTCCTCTCTACAGATAAATCCTGCAGAGAGGACATGTGTGAAAGGGGTTTTATTTACCTTTATGAGAAGCAAACAAAAGCAGAGGAATCCGACACACCTATTTCTCCTTCCCCTCCTCTCCGAAATGATAAAGACGGTTTTGGAGAGCAGACACAACCTCTAAATTTGGTCAAAGAAAATAGCACAGAAAGCAAAACAAGTGGCCATTTTGAGGGAGGAGAAATGAGAGTCAGACAGAAAATTTGACTCCTGAAATGTACAGCAAAATAGAAGAAACTTTCTGGGAGAATATAATGCCAAAGTTGTTTCTCATTTTTTAGTTATGCATGGTATTTCCTTGTGTTGTTTCTTGCTGGGCTGGTAATTTCACATATTTCTGTCTTGGCTTTTTTTTATTGTGTTTCCTTGTTTTTTTATTGGAGTTTTAAATGACGCCTGAAGTTTCTCTTCGGGCTGTCCGATTTCCTCCCACTGTCTAAAAACATGTCTGTCTTATTGGTCTCTCTAAATTCTGCTGAGGTGTGAACAAAAAATACATTGGCAGAAACAGGACTATCACGTTATTATCGTTCAAGCAGTTTTTCCGAGTTAAGCCTGACTTGCAGTTGGAACAACAAGGCTGCCCAAACAAACTTACCCAGTCTCTAAAAAGCGAAGCAGTGTCGTTGAGAAATTTTGTGGATGGAAGCACAACAACGAGGCCATTCGTCAGCAGCTCTAAGAAGGACGTCTCACACACTACAAGTGTTTTCAAAGTACATTTCCCGATCAGTGTTGCCGCCGTACGAGTCCAGCCAGACGAGCACCAATTCCACTAAACACAAAATCTCAAACTGTTTTCCCATTTTCGATGACGGTTCTCTCTCCCTTAGCTCCATTAAAACAGGGTAGATGTCCGCTGGGGAAAAGTGTCGTCCTGGCTCGTGGACGGCGGTGTGAATCAGATTAGCACAGTTCGGGATACGGTGACTTAGGTTGAGAATGCTCTGAAATCCAGCACTCATCCAGCTGTTATTGAAATGGTTTTCAAATCTGCACATGTCTGTCTCAGTCTGTCCCATTATCATTTGCTCCTCAATTATAACCTTCCCGTCCGGGTCCGTTTGGTTCTGAGGAACAGTACAAAGCAGTTTCTCCGAAAAGTCTGAGGATGAAAAACTATCCCGGCCGGGAAAGTTTTGACTTTGGGGATCATGAAAAACACACCATTGTTTGGGGTTTCAGTGCTGTTCGTTAAATCTGCTTCCCCGTCCGGGGTGCAGTTCAGTTTGGGATTAACAAAAACCCTACGAAATGATCAAAAAGTTTCTGCATACCCGTTGTGACCAGGTATCCAAGTCCAAATCCAATAGGAAAAATTAAGGGGTACATTTCTGAAACTCTAAAAATCTTTGTCCGACAAAGCTGGGTATCACAAACTTGTTTGGATCCTAACTGACCATGAACTTAGTCACACGCATTTAAGGTCTCATAGGCTATGATGAATGACACTGGAGTTCTGGTGCAAGGTCTTGCTTCTGATCGGTGCTACGGAAACAATCAGACCAGTTCTGCATGACTCAAATTATAAATGAAAATGAAATAATTTTTTTCCATCCATCCATTCATCTTCTGCCGCTAACCAGATTTTTAAAAAAAAATTAATTTATTTAACATACAGAGGTTGACAGTAGAATTTCATATGGTTGAATTTTTGCATTTGTGGTTTTCCGTATCTGCTGCGGTATAAATTGACAAAAGCCATTTGTCCATTATTATTTTTAACACAATCCTTGGTAAGCTAGCTGTACCGTCGCACTTTGAGTTAACGTAACAGATAACGGTTGTTTACGTGCAGTACCTATTGGACCACTAGGGGGCGCCCGCGGACCACCGCAGTTTGAGAAAAACTGATCAACACATACCTGTTGTGCAAAAGTGATTTTTCCAGCTCGCAGCAGCAGGACGGCGCCTTTCAGGTCAACTTTCCCCTGAACAAAGTCCAGATCCTTCTGACGGCCGTAGTTCCCGTACACCAGCCGGCCCTGGAGCCGTCAGGAGAAAATGAATGTCATCCTATGTTATCATTACTAGTTAATTGTAAGATAAAATAAATTTTAATTGGGTTTCACAGAAAATGAAGCAAAAATACTTTCCACATTTTAAAGATAAACAAACCCATAATTTTACCCAAAAGAGAAGATCTTTGGTGATTCGATGCAGAAGTGAATCACTGAAGTAAACAGACTTACTGTAAGGATTTAGTGCAGGTGAGGTTTACTGGAAAAGAAGCCTAAACAGTCTAATAATACCCAAAGCTGTTCTGTAACAGTTTAAGTGTCAATAAGCTAATGGTCTGGTTGAGATTAATGCCAAGTCTAAATCGATTTAACAAGTTTAAACCTGTAATACAGTCTAAGGCGTCAGAAGACTGAGAATCCTTCAGAGTGGTCCTGAAGGTGAGAGGTTAAAGGTCACGTCCTCATAACTCACCTCAACTTTGCCCGGTTTGCTGTAGGCCAAATATCCCGCAGGCTTGATGACGTCTGAACCAAAGTAAATAGTGTTGGGTTTCTGGCTGTAAAAGCAGAAGGTGAACAGTGGGGTGTTCACTTCTAAAATAAAATTAAAATACAATTTACACACAACTACATTGCAGCAACTTATTAAAACCACGACATAAGCGTTTAATATCAGTCGATATTGTTAAGTATTCATTTGTTTTGTAAACCAGAGAAATGGTAATGTCACCCACTTGTCGGGCGTCTGAAGCTGAACGTAATGGATGTCTGTCCACGGCGTCATCCCCAACGTCTTGAAGGTGTCGAAGATCCTGTTCGCCAGACTCATGTCTTCCTCACTTCCTGCCGAGCGACTCTTCACATCAAAATCCCTGCAGAGCAAAAGGGAGGCATTTGATTTATTTATTTTTCCCGCTTGGAAAAAAATATTTACTTTGTGGATTCTCCAATCTTTAGCCCTTCACGCGGCATAAAACTTTCACAAATACAAAGTTGAAATCTAGATATGATTTTCTATTTATGTTTTGTCTTTTTATAAAAGTCTCCAAATTTAAACAAAGCTGTAAATATGATTGTTCTTTTAGGGGAAAGTAAAACTGTACTTCTGCAGGCCAATGTAAATGAACTGGTAACAATCTTTTATATTTTATTAGAAGTACATTAAAAGATTTAATTAATTCCTTTTTTAAATAAGAAAATAAACACTAACTAACGTAGCCTATTAGCTAAAGCTATGCTGCTTGAGGAGTTTGGGGTAAAACATATTGACAGACAAATGATCTTTTATGCAAAATGTACAAATGCTGTGTACAGTTCTTCAACTAATTAATTAATGATTAATAAATTACTAAATTAGTTGACAACTAATTGTTTCAGCCTTAGGACAACTGTAAAAAATATCAGATTTAAAAAGTCAACATTAAATCTGCTCCTTTTGAGTTTAATAAACCACCAACACCTGTTTACCTAACAATTCAACTGGTCTGACTCCCAGTGTTTACATGGTGAGCTGTGTTCTCAGCTTTAAAGTGAGAATAATTCAATCTGACGCCGAGCGCTTCTACGACCTACTTAAGCGTCTTTTTGAAAGCTTCGCTGCTGAGTTTGCTCGTTAGGAGTTCAGAAACGTTCTTCCAGGACGGAGTTGAAGGTTTTCCTGGATCCATCCCGCTGATTTTATCCCTTGAACTCGGTTCGCAGTCAGACTCAACCTTAGGTTTATGATGACTGATGAAACCAACCAGGTAGCCTGAAGGAGACACATACGATGACATCCTTACGCCTCAGACAGTGAGAAATATGGGACTAAAGACCTAAATAACAGGTTTTATGCATTAAAAATGATGCACTGAGAAATTTCAATGTAGAAAACTGTTATTTACAGCATTAAACATCACGTTAAAAAATGAGAAACTAACGAACCGCCAAGAAACACCATCAGGGTTCCCAGGATTATGAACGCCACGGTCCGCCTGCTGTGATGCAGCGGTGCCGGCCTGAAGCTCGGCGACCCGGGCGCCTCTGCCGCCGTGTCGCCGTCTGCAGCGTAGTCAGACAGGTTGACCTCGGAGTGCCTCTCGCCGTTCTCCGACGGCTGCAGCGTGAACCTGCTGTACCGCTCACTGTTCATCTAGAGACGCACAATAAGGGCAGAAAGTCTTGATTGTTTTGAAACAGTGTTGCTAGAGTGATCTGAAAAGTTGCTAAATATAGCGACGAATTTGTCTCTTGGTGGAATTGTTCAAAATTTGTCTGGGTTGAAATTATGCCTTCACTACAGTTACAGTGAAAGAGAAATTATTTAAAAATAACAGAAAATACTAAAGCTTACCAAATTCTTTTGTCTAGTTTCTAATTCAAATATCTTATTTTACTTGAAAAAAGATAAAACTAACTTAAAAATAACATTCAGCAAGATATATAAGCTTGTTTTATGTCAATAATTAATAAACTCCAGGTTAAAAAAAGTTAGTAATTTGAAGGCAGATATTTGCCACCTTTAAGGAGAAATGTTTCCTGTTTGAATTGAAAAAATCTGCCAGTGGAACTACTGTTCGTATCTACATTCAAGAATTATTGACTTAAAGCAAGCTTATATATCTTGCTGAAAATTTACTTTTAAGTTAGTTTATATGTTTCTTTATTTGCACTAGAAACTAGACAGAAATACTTGGTAAAATGTGTTTTTGCAGTGTGAGTTTTGTTCTTTATCACTCACCATCCTCTGAAACTGCGACCTTATCTTGTCCATTGTTGCTGTTTTGACAGAGAGGAATACAAATAAGTCACAAGGTTATAATCTCACATTCAATTCAATTAAATAATCACTTTTTATCCAAAAGAAAAATTCAATTTAATGATGATACTATGGGCAGGAAGGGCCTTATGCTAATCAGCTGCTTGAAGTTGTAAAAGCAGCAGGGCTGGACAATATGGCTGAAAAACGTATCACTACGTCAGTGTTTAATATCAGTCGATATCGATAACTATCAATTCGTTTTCTTGTTTTAAATATGTGAAATATTTCACCAGATTGGCTAAAACTGTGGCTAACTGTTTCAGCCACAATTTCACGCCGTTGTTTTTTATTTTAAAGTAGATATGAGGCAGAACTTCAAACTGCTGCTGCGCCGGTTACTCAGCAGGTTGTTGCTAGGTAACCATAGAATGTGCGAGTTGCTAGGTAACCAAAGCGCAAGTGAGTCACATGGATTCCACCAACATGTTATCTACTGATATTAATCACATGTCTATCGTGATATATGTTATTGATTTATTGTCCAACCCTACCTTGTTGCCATAGTTAGATTATAAGTCATAGCAAAAAATATTAACATTTGCAGGAGAGAAAAAGACTGAAAGAAAAACACCAGGAAGTGTGAGGAAAGTCACGTATGCGTTTTTTTTTCCCCCACAGAGGGAGGGGAATGTTTTCTGTGTAAACCTCCTGAGGTCAGGGTGGATCAGAATACACGGTTTGAAAAAATCTGTTTTATACACAGCGTTCTGTTTGTGAATCAAACACTATGTTCCTTATGTAACGGTTAAGGTCAAGTCTAGCTTTTTACTCGCTTTTCTGTAACTAATGATGCCATTTCAGCTGAATAATATCAGATAACTGCACACAAAAGCTCTTCAGTTTCAACAAAATCTCACATTTGTTTAAATAATTTAAATCACATATGTATTTTGTGAGCCTCAACTATATAGACAAAGTGTAATTATTTTGTCAATAACTGAGAAATATAATGTTAGCTTTGGGGAAGTTAGCAGAAAGGTTTGCCAAAACTGTGCATTTGTTTTTTTTTTTTAATTTACAGAGACCTTTGTGAATCTGAAGTTAAAAATTTTAAAAATCTTTAATTATCAAGAGCCACATAACTTTATATTACAACATATTAAATGTGTTATATTTTGATCAGTCACTCATTACTTCAGTCACCTTTCTACCAAATATTATTTTTACTCTTGAGTAATTTCTTGGATTGCTACTTTTTACTTTTAATTTAGTACAATTTTCTACCCACTTCTGGTTATACCTGAAAAGCCAATAATTCCTCTAATTTTCTAAGAAAGTCTAACTGTTTATTTTGAAAATTCATTGGGTGGAACAGCTAACATACCTAAGATTACAGAGTAGGCAGTTCCTTCTTGTCTGAACAAAAGGAGGAAATAGTAAGAGAGATCATTAAAATAAATCCACTAAACTGTGTTTAGCTTTCTTCCTCGTCTTTTTTAAATAAATAAACGGTGGCCATCTGGTTTATATAGTTAAAACGAAATAAAGAGGGAATTCAGTGCAATGCAGCTTGTCTTTATCTATTACTTTAGAGAGAAGCGTTGTTAAGGATTGGGTTGTAGTTTCCTGAGAATATTTTGTAAAAAACAAATTGTACAAAACAAGGAAATATGCTCATGTTTTGGCACATAATCGTTTTAACTGAAACCTGAATGAGGACAAACTCAGATGACTCATTTCCGTGGTGAATCGATTTCCTGGAACCAAAATATAATTATTTATATTCCACATGCACAAACAGGCCGAATTTTGCGTTAAAGTAAAAAGCTGAATTTTAGGTCGAATATTGGCGCATATTGGAGAAGAGTCGTTATTAATATCGTATATATTTGTTGTGACTTTGATAGGAGTTACGTAAACCCCAATGCGCCTAAAATATATCTGAGGCTGCAATAAATTAATTAAATCAATATATAAAAAAAGCGTAATATAGCGTAGCTCACCTTAGAGTCGCTTTGTAGATGTTTGAATGAAGGACATCTAAACACAAACGATATTATTACTCCGCTGCACAAGTATTCACGCCCGGAAGTTCTTCTTCTTCTTCGTTCATTTCCCTCCCCCCCTTGCCGGTTGGTGCAATACCGCCACCAACTGGTGAGAAGTGTTTATGAGCGCTCACTTTCAAAACGACAATAAACTAAATTCAGAAGTTAAAAACGACGCTTTTAGTTTTTTCTTCACATTTATGTTTTATTACACCAACTTTTTATTTTATGCACAAATTAATACGACTAATTATACTCACTGTAGAGTGAGTACAATGAGAGGCCTAAATTTAACTGTAATAAGCCTTCTGGTAGCAGAATACATTTGTTCTCAGCTTCAAGAGGATTCTATGTAGTCTATATGACATACCATAAAATTTACAAGTGGTGTTGCTCAAACTAATTAGTATACAGTATGTACATTTAAAATAAGAAAAAATATCTGACAAGTAACATTTCAGCAAGAAATAGGAGCTTGTTTTAAGTAAATAATTACTTAATATCGACGAAAAACATTGGCAGATGATTTAACTGATAACAAGATGTTGTTCCCGGATTATAAGTGAAATAATTTACCACTAAAACTAAAACTTTTTCATCAGTATTAAGAAATTATTTACTTAAAACAAGCTCCTAAATGTTACTTGTAATTGAATTTTATTTTATTTAAATTGTACTAAAATATTTGCCCTAGAAAGTAGACAAAAATACTTGGTTAGATTTGGTGTTTTTGCAGTGAAAATCATTCATAAATTTTCTTCTACCACACCATTTTGCTTGTTTGTGTAAAATATGTCAATATTTTTGTTTTTAACATGAAAAAGTTCAAGGTGCAAAAACAATATTTGCCCTTCAGTCTTTATTCTTGATATAGAATAAAACATTCGAATTATGTAAAATGTCATTTATCTGACTTCACACAAGGTTTTCTGTCATTAAATGATATAATATATTTATATTACCAGTTATTATGAAGCTGCAGATGTTCCTGTATCTGCAGGAATTGTTTTCTGATTGCAGCCTTCTCACTCTGTGACCTGCTGCTCAGGTAACACTGTAATAGCAGCAAAGTCCCAGATGGTGTCACCTCAGCGCTTTGTGTGAAACTTGACTCTCCTGAGGCGAAACGCCTGCAGATGGAGAAGCAACTGTCACCTTTTAAAGCAACAGCACACACAGCAACTGTGTGAAGGAATGGGAAGAAATCTGTTAACCCTATTTAAGCTTTGGTTATTGTTATTATTTGCTGTTTTGATTTCCAGCTTTTATATTTCTGTTAATATAGAAATTACTGTACAATAAAGACATACTAACTTAATGTTTTTTTTTTATTATTTCAAATGAAATATCTTAGAACAACTCGTTGCAAATATGTGCTTCACACTAGTAGAAGTAGAAAAGAATAAAAAATATATTTTTTGTGCCAATGGGAACAAATAGCAGATTACCAAGAAGATATGGGCCAATTGGGCAGATGCCCAGGGCGGCATCTTCTCTCGGGCAGCATGAGCAGTTTTCTAATTATATCTACAAAGAAAAAAAAAGTAATTATATTATGTAGGACTTTTTTATAAAAGTTGTGGAAATCAATTTGTTTTTATAAGTGTGTAATTTAAAAAAAAAGATAAAAAGAAACTTACATTTGTGTATTGATCAAAATTTATCTATTTAATAGTGATAATTTTTGACAGTATTTTTGTATTTTTCAACTGTGTTTATAGCATTCTTCTCTTACACATTTTTATATAAATAAATATATAATATAAAATATTTACATTAATAAAATATTAAAAGAAGTCTTGAGCGTTTCTATGGATAAAAAATGCCATCATGGCAGAGCAAAATTTTGTGTTTATATATATAAATTAGCTTACACATTCTTTATGTGTATTTAATTTAATTTGATTAATAAATAAATATTAACCTATGAAATATTTGAGTCTCCTTGCCGTTTTAAATTTATTTTAAAAAATTACTTTACTGAGAGAAATAAATTTATCTGTATAAAGGAATTTTGACATAATTAATTCTACAATAAATATATATTTAATATAAATTGACACTGTTTGTGTATTTTCATCTCCTTTCTGGCAACATATTGCAACAGAATATTAAAAATAATGATTGAAGACTCATTCAGGAAGAAAACAATAAAAAATGTATGAACACGCTTTTGAAATGTTGCAACGAAAGCCTAATTTTATCCATGAAAGTTGTTTCTTCATTCACTTCAAGGTCAGGTAATCACCTTGATCACCTGATTGTTCCATCTAATCAGGAACAAATGAATGGTTTTTCTGACTGGGCTGCACTTTATCTCATCATCTTGGAGTGGCTGATAAAAAAAAAAAACTATAGATCTTAATTTTTTTGTCCTTTCCTGCATCATTTATCTTGTTGCTGCCGCCAGCAGATTCTTCATCCTGAAAGACGAACAGAACAGCTGAGTGTTTGGAAAAACTCTACAGAAAACTGAATTACATGAGCAGACAAAATGTTTCTGGTGTTATAAACCAATAAAATGCTGTGAAAAATGTTTCTTGATTTCATATTTTCACACTTCAGTGTTTTCAATTTAAACTTTAGTCTAAAATACCACAAGTAAACACAAAATGCAGCTTTTAAATGCATTTTGCCTAAATTAATTTGTTTTATTCACATTATTTAATCATGTGACATTCAGCTAATTGTAGATAATACTTCATTTACATTATGTATTGAAAGTGAGTGAATTATAAAACTAAATCCATTTTCATTATAATTTTAACTTAATTCAGTAAATGATGAAAATTAGGAAAAAAAAAATAGAAAAACTTTTAATGTAAACAGTGTAGAAAAAGAAGTGGAATTAAATTACCTTGTATTGTTTCTCCATTTTATTAATTATTAGTGATATTTCTATTAATAAGTAAAGATAATTATTATAATTATTATTACAGTAATTTTTTAAAAATTATAACTATTAGATTTATAATAGATGTTATTTATAACAGTGATGATAATAATAATGTTATTATTATTAAAGACATTTAACTTTGTGCTGCTTTGTTTGGTTTATTTATTCATTTATGTATATTATTTATTGTACATTACATGTTCTATATTAACTTTGTCAACAGAAGTCTAAAGTGTATTTATTTATAATATTTCTTTTAATTTTTTAAGGGTGGGAAAGAGGAAAAAGCTGTTGTGTTGTTTTTGTTTTTTGGCCAAATCTGTTGACCTCATCTTGACTCAACTAAACATTTCAGGTTACCTTGTAAAAACAATAAAGCAATCAGCATTTGCAAAACATTTTTTAGCATATAATCTCCTTCTCGGCCGAAATAGTGCATAATAAAGAGTTATTAAGCATTTATTAAGTGTTTATAGTCTATCACTTCCACCTCTTCTTCTTTTATGGCAATTAAGAGTTCGTCGCACTGCTGGTGTGAAGCAGCTTTAATGAAACTCTTTAAAGACGTTCTTATTACAGCTTCAGTTTCCCTGACACCAACACCACCGTCGAACTAAAACACAACGTAAACTTAGTGAGATGGTGTCAAGAATACAATATCGATATAAAAATAACATAAAACATATAAACATACTCGCTGGCTAACCCTTCCTTTTGAGGTAGAAATGAGGTCATTCAGTAAATTCTTACACTTAAATCATGTTTCTTCATTTGCTTGCCAACGCGATGCTGTTATATCGCAAGCGTCTCTGGTAACCTGGTAACCAGACGCTTCTACATCTACTTCCTACCTTAAACCTTCAAAATAAGAGTCTTAACAAAAAACTATAAATAATACAAAATAAAATCTGTAAATTAAAACTTTGGCAGTAAAACTCCCACCAAATCACAAACCTATGGTGATTTCAAATAACATACAACATTAAATAGGAATATATTTACATTTTAACATTTACTCTGCTTCCAGTAACAACACAGTTTTATGAACTGGTCTATCAAGATACACTGGCTTGACAGTCCTTTTTCCATCCTTATCCAAGGTCGAGTCACTTAGTAACAGCTTCACCTTCCTGATCCTTCCATCTGCGCTTGTATATACTTCTGTACTCTTGCCAGTTTCCACTTGTTCCTTGGAGAATTGTCCTCTTGAAGAATAACAATGTCGTTACCTTTGCATTCCTCTTGTTTCTTTGCCAGATTTATTGCTTCTGCTTCCGATGTAACACTTACAAGTTCATCATCTACATAAAAGTTTCTTTGAATGAACTTTACTGTGTCTGGAGAGAACTTTCCCTCACCTTGTGTGCTAGATGTTTTAAACCAAAATTGGCACAACCAGGTGAAGAAGCTGCACCAAACAGGTGAACCTTCATGCGAAAGACCGAGGGGGAACACTTAAATCACATGCTCCACCATAAGAAGCGTAAATAATCCTGGTCTTGAGGTGTTACATGGAACTGATGAAACATACGCTCCACATCGCACATTACAGCCACTGAGCCTTTCCTGAACCTACAGAGTACTCCCACCAAGTGTTTGTGAGGTCAGGCCCTGTAAGCAGGTGTTCATTCAGCGAAGTGTCCTGATATTGTGCAGAGCAGTCAAAAACAACACGGATCTTGCCAGGCTTTTGAGGGTGGTATACCCCATGATGGGGAATATACCAGGCAGGGGAATTACATATTTCCTTCTCCGGTATTTTCTCTGCATCACCACGTGCAATAATGTCCTCCATGAACCTTGCATAATCTGAGTAGTACCTTTGATCCCTTATGAATCTGCGTTTGAGACTGCTTAAACGTTGCATTGCACTTGACATGTTGTTGGGAAGATTTGGTCTGTCACTTTTGAAAGGCAGAGGCATTTCATAATGTCCATCTTGCTTTTGTTTGATTCCTTCTTGCAGCTTTCTTAGGAAGCAGACATCTTCTTGTGAAATGCTTGTTTCTTCCACTGCTCTCTCTGTAAAATCTAATTCAAGTGCTTTGATTACATCTGGACCTGTTACTTCTTTCATCTGTGTCTTGCAGATGTAATGAACTTTATTCTTTAGCTTTGTGGTTGGCTCAGTCTCTGGTATTACTTGCTTTACAGTGATGCGATGACTTACTCCAATTACATCGCTGCCTGCATCACACAAATCACAGTAACTTATGATGCTCCAACCCAAATCTGTTTTCTGGGCATAAGGCTGGTTTTCTCACCACATATGACTTCTGTGGGCATTAAAGCTTGTGTGCAATTATAGCCTAACAGGAGTCCTATCTCACAGTCCAATAGTGGAGCAATGTGTTCAGTGAGATGTTCCAAATGTGGCCATGACCTTGCTGTGTCTGGAGTAGGAATATGGCTACGATTGACAGGTATAAAATCACGTGTGTAAGCAACTGGCACAGTGAGTTTCTTTTTGGAAAACAATCCTCTTATTTGCAGAGCTTCAAGTTTTGTACATGCTACAGTTGTTTTCTTGGATGACATTGTAGATAATTTGAGATTAACCTGGGTTTTAGCTGTGTCCAGGTTGTTTGCTACTTCATTAAGAATAAAAGACGAATCACTCTGTGTGTCCAGCAGAGCATAGGTAAGTATTTCTTTGTGTGGCTCATTTTGTGTGGATACATAGACAGGTACTATTGCAGATGTCTGTGTGTTTCTACTTTCATGAGTCACTCTGTTAGATGTACTTTCATTAACTTTCGTTGTTTCTTGTGATTGTGTTACCTGTTCCTGGGTTTCCTTCCCTTCAGCTACTTCTTGTTCTTTAGGTTGTTCTTTCTTTGTCTCGTGTCTTTGTCTTTCTTCGTGCAGACATGTGGGATGTTGTTTTGAGCATGTGTTGCATGTCATCCGATTGCTGCAGTTCTTGGAGAAGTGACCACTGTTTAAACAGCCAAAACATAGTTTTTCACCGTGAATGAACTTGACTCTCTCAGTGACTGGTTTCTCAGTGAACTTACGACATTTGTGTAAGCTGTGTCCTGCTCTTTACAAAATACACAAGAGATCATGCTTCTTTCTCTGGAGTTAGTTGTGAAGATGTTCGCTGTATTTTGCTTCTTATGAATGGGTGTAAGTAGAGACTTGATCTTTGGTTTGTCAAAGTCACTTTGTCTTATAGCTTCATATGATGTAATGGGATTACATGCAATACTTGCCTCCATTGACAGGAATGTTACAAAGTAACTGAAACGTGGGAACTGTCTGTGCTCTAACTGATACTCTGTAGCCTTTCGGTTCCATCTGTTGCTTAACCAGTCTGGCAGTTTAGCAGCAAGTCTTTGATTCTCTATTCCATCATTGAGGATGTTCAGGTTCTCGTTGGTAGTCATTGCAGATTGACAGCTTTGTAAGAAATCCACAAACTTTCTTAACTCTGCACTGTTTTTACCTTGGAGCTTTGGCCACATGTGCAACTTGTCCCTAAAGGCTTTTGCAATAACAAAAGGCTCTCCATAACGATCATTGAGCATATTCCATGCTGCCATATAAGAATCTTCAGAGCCAATCAGAAAATAGCCTTCTAAGGCTTCTTTAACACTCCCATCTACATACTTCTGTAAGAAAAATATCTTTTCTGCAATGGGAATGTTCTTTCTCTCTATTAGAGTCTGAAACGATGCCTTCCAATGTTTAAACTTAAGTGGATCCCCACTAAATATTGAAGGCTCTGGAATTGGTAGCCTGTTAGCTGACATAGCTTCTGCCAAAACTTTTACAAGCTCACCTGTGCTCTCGTGAACGACATTTAACTGTGGTGGTTGATTGGCAGTGTTCTTCATCTCAGTTACCTGTATGTTTGCAGGATTCGGAGTGATTCTTTCTTGCTTTACTAAAAGTAGTCTTCTTCATAAACTTGTAATTTTGCCTTTGCTGCATTGAGTCCTTTCAGATTTTCCAGTCTTTCAATTTCTCTTTTTAAGTCCTCAACTGATCTTTTCCTTGCAGCACTTTCTTCTTGTTGTCTCTTTATCACAGCCGCCTTCTCCTTTTCTCTTTTTAACTTGCGTTCTGTTTCCTCTCTTTCCTCTTGATGGCGTTGTGACATCGCAGCAGCTTCTTGTTCTGCAGTTCTGAGTTTGTCTTCTTCTTCTATGGTTTGGATTTTTTCTCTAAATTTCTCTTGTTCAGCCATTATCTTAAGCACAGCCTTTGTGGCTTCATACTCTGCTGCAGCTTCTTGTCTTTTGACAGAGGAGCCATTAGAGATAACTGTACTGGGTTTAAAATGACTATGAACTGAGACACTAGTTGAGCTAGAAGATGTAAATATAGAACTGGCATCAGGCCAAACAATCTCCTCCTTATTTGTTCCCTCAACATGGCACTGGATGTTTTGCAAAACTAACTTAGTCACTGATGTACATTTGTCTAATTTGGAACGCATATCATGAGGTGGTCCATCTATTGCTCTGTATTGATCATAAATATCATTAAGAGCGGCTAGTTCTCTTTGCACAATGTCCATGTGACCTTCAAGAATGTCAAATGGATCTCCTCTGATAACAGATTTTTTAGCAACTTTAATTAATGCTTTCCATCTGTCATAGGTACTTTCAAAGTGACGCTGCAGCCCTTTAGTTTTTCTTTATGAAATTCTTTTCCTTTTTCCGTTAACATGCCAGATCTTTCACTTCTACGTAGCTCTTGCCCAGGTTGCTCTAAAGAGGTTCCATCTACTTGCTCTGCTTCAGCAGCTTGTTCTGCACTGGCAACTTCTATTTCTGTTTCATTTGTTTCCAACATTTTACTTTACTTGAAATCTTATGGACTTCTTAATTGGTCAAAATTTCCTTTTAATTTAACTTAGATTAACTCTGAGCTTCGTTGCATTACTTCCCTTCTCGTTACTTTGTTGCGCTCTTGTTGTCAGGCTTCACACGGTTCCTTGTTGTTACTCCTTCCTTGTGTCACTTTCCAAACATGAACTTAAATGTCTGGCTTCTGGACGTCTTTATGAAGAAGCAACCGTTGAACGTGTGTCCGTTAACATTTGCAACTGACCGATCTTGATGCCCGTTAATATTGTCAACTGTCCAATCTTCGTGCCCGTTAACATTTGCAACTGACCGGTCATCGATGCGACGATGGAAAATCGTGCAGCTCCGAGTTCGACTATCACTTCCACCTCTTCTTCTTTTATGGCAATTAAGAGTTCGTCGCACTGCTGGTGTGAAGTCAGCTTTAATGAAAACTCTTTAAAGACGTTCTTATTACAGCTTCAGTTTCCCTGACACCAACACCACCGTCGAACTAAAACACAACGTAAACTTAGTGAGATGGTGTCAAGAATACAATATCGATATAAAAATAACATAAAACATATAAACATACCTCGCTGGCTAACCCTTCCTTTTGAGGTAGAAATGAGGTCATTCAGTAAATTCTTACACTTAAATCATGTTTCTTCATTTGCTTGCCAACGCGATGCTGTTATATCGCAAGCGTCTCTGGTAACCTGGTAACCAGACGCTTCTACATCTACTTCCTACCTTAAACCTTCAAAATAAGAGTCTTAACAAAAAACTATAAATAATACAAAATAAAATCTGTAAATTAAAACTTTGGCAGTAAAATAGTCTATGAACTATTTATTAGCTATATATAAGGAGAGGCTTATTGTGAAATGGATTTTTAGTTATATTTTCATAATTTTATTTGTGATTAAGGTGTTAACTTTTAAATGTTCTGCAGAGTTGGATAGTAAGTTACATTTACTCAGTTATATTACTTGATCAACTTTTTTGAGTATTTTTTCTGCACTTTTTACTTTTATTTGAGTCTCTTTATTTTTGTTTATTTGAAGTGCACAAAACTTCAACTCCATTTTTTTATTAAGGTTTCATATTGGAATAAATTGAATCAAAAACATTTTTTTGTCTGATTTTAATACTTTATATGAATTATTTTCATTTTGAGCTTCAAAATACCAACGATGTCCACATAACTTTACTGTTTGTTCCATCTGATGATGAAACTTTCAAATATTAAATGACAGTTTTTTTTACTAAACACCTTTTTACTCGTACTGGAGTAAATTTGTGGGTCCTCTGCTGAACACTTCAGGGATTTCCTGCTGCTCCACACAGTTTGTGTCACCGCCATCTGTTCGGAGCGCATGACGCACGCCGCTGCGTCACGCCTCCCTCTTGGCCTCAGCCCGCATTTATGAAAATGAACATTTCACACACGGGAGCTGCAATTTACGAGGCGTCATTGAAGGCAACAAATAAGAGCAAGTGAGCGAGCGAGGGAGAGAAAGGGGGTTTGCTCATCAGCGTTTTTTCCGTTTTCTGGCGGCTCGTTGTTCCTCCTCCTGCCGTGTCACTGGACTAAAAAAAAAAAGAGGAAGGAATATGGTTTGGTGCGACGCTCCTCCCGTTTAGTAGCGGATCTCTGCAAACACGGACAGGAGGCTGTCGGTCCCGGTAAAAGCCGCTTCCAACACCTGAGACTATCGCCCACAGTCCTGCAGGAGAGCAGCCAGCACACCGCGACTCATAAATGGGTGAGCCGCGGCGCGTTTTTACATTTTATAATACAATAATAATTATTATTCTGGTTGCTTCTGGTTTTTACGAGCCTCCTGCCTCCTCTGCGCATCTGGATGGGACAGGGCTCCAGATGCGCGCAGGGTTCCGTCTTTTCCACGCATGCACATTTATTTATTTGATTATTTCTTATTCACTACTGATGCTTTTTTTCATGCATGATTAGAAAGCCACGCGTGGGAGAGTATGCGTCTGCTTTTTTTAGAGGAAAGGAAAGCCCTCTGATGAGTTGCAGATGTTGACACGTTTACATCCACTCTGTCCGTGAGCCTATTGTGTGTCACTGTGTTTCACGGTCCAGCTCAATGCCTGTGTGCACGAAAAAGGCCTTTGCTGTTTTCATCCACGCCAGCGTTTTTTTTCCCACGGGCAACGCGCTGATGTTAACGGAGTATGACTGTAACTGGCTGCAGATAAGGTGGAAGAGACATCAATAACTCGATGCAACGTAAAATAGACTCACTGTAGGTCTGACTTCTCCTTTTGTTTGCATATTTTGAAAATCCAAATGATCTCCAAGAAACACCAATAAACCATTTTAAGTGTATTGTTCCTGTTAATGCATTGAACAAAGCATCTCAGGCTCAAACTTGTTTTTGAGTTATACTTATGTGCCAAGTATAACTGTGATAGCTGCCAACCGCCCATCAACCAAAAACCCCAAAGTGCCCATTTTATGGTTAATTAGGAATTAATTAAATAGGTACTGAACTGCTGAAATTGTAAAAACCATTACTTTATTCACTTAAGAAGGAACACAAAATAGGCTAGTGGATTAAGAATATTCTTGAAAGTGCCATTACAGACTTTTATTAGCTCTGTAGATTATAACTCAACAGAATCTTGATGCTGTAAAAACTTCCACTGTTGTAGAGTATCAAATTTTTTCATAGGGAAATGTGCCACGAATATGTTTTCAGTAAAAATATTGGTAATTTCGTAGCTACACACGGACCTGAAATTGTTGCTACCTATGTTCCAGTTAGCATTAGCATAGTAGGACAGCTGGCAGCTACTAGAAGTTTAGAAAAGTAGTGCATTCATGAACCACTGCCTTAAAAAAAGATATCAACACGTCTGTTTTACATTTTTTTATTATAAGAGTATAAAAAATAGCATGGCGACAACCAAACCTCACATACTTGCTAGGGTTAGCATAGCAGCACAGCTCACAGCTACCAGAAGCTAGAAAAGTGTTGTGTAGTTTGGTATACTTATGCACCTCTCCAGTGAAAGTAAGACTTGAGATCTCGAAATGTTTATTGTTAGGGTTATTGATTATAAGTGTATAAAAATAACAATATGGCTGTAACCAAACCTCTAACCTCTAAGTTGGAGTTAGCATAGCTGCAAAGCTGAAAGCTACTAAAAATTAGAAAAGTAATACGTCCTTGAACCACTGCCTCAAGAAAAGATATTAGCATGTTTGTTTTACATAAAAAACTATATGGCTATAACCGAACCTCACATACTAGCTAGTGTAAGTGTAGCTGCGAAGCTAGCATCCACTGGGAGGTAGAAAATTGTTGTGTAGCTTAGTACATTTATGCACCTCTCCAATGAAAGTATGACTTGGAATCTTGGAATGTTTATTATCAGTTATTATTTATAAGAGTATAAAAATAGCAGTATGGCTACACTAAACCTTACATACTAGCTAGTGTTAGCATAGCTTCAAAGCTAAAAGCTACTAGAAGTTAGAAATTTGTTTCATAGTTTACTACGTCCAGGAGCCACTCCAATGAAAATAAGACTTAAAATGTGGGAATGTTTATCATCAATTTAATGATAAAAAGAGCATAAAAATAATCATATGGCTATAACAAACCTCATATGCTAGCTAGTATTAGCATAGTATACACATCCGAAGCATCTCCTTAAAAGTAAAACATTGACTTGTTAAATGTTTATCATTCCATAACTGATGATGCAATTACAAGAATATAAATAACACTAAAAATTATTTTTTACATACAAGCTAGGGTTAGCATACCAGTGAAGCTAACGGACACATGAAGAGAGGTATATGTTTTAAAATGTAATGATAATTTTCTCAAATTTAGACATTTTGCTTATTTTCTGGTCATTAGGTATATACAAATATGTTGTTTTAGTTCACAAAAACAACAACAGCATTGCACAGTTAGCAATGCACAGCTAACTGTGCAGTACATATATGGATGTTTATTATCATTTATTGATCAGAAGAGCATGACAATGTAAATAACATACCTGGAACTAAACCTTCACTTGTTCTTCTTTATGGACACAGCAATATTTCACTGCTATAAAGCTAGCTACTGGAGGAACTTGAAAAATGGCAGTTTACTCATCCACTCCATTAGCTAGATACTATAACGAAAGACACCGAGTTATCACATTGATCTTCTTATTGATTAATGCAGGACTAAACCATACCTGAAACTGAATCTCCCCTTTTATGTACATGCTAAGATTAGCATTAGCTGCTGCCAGATGATTAGCCGTTTAAAACTTTCATGAGTCATTACCTTCACATTTGATTTGTGAAATGTTTTTATCTGTATTTGACCTGTTTATTGTTTCTTTTGAATCAATAGGGATCAGTTTGACAGTGGATTAAGTAGTTTGTAAATTGATTTTATTAAAAATATTGCACATATTGTTGAGGATTAATGGCATCATAGTAAATTTTTCTGTCAGTAATGATATGCTGTCATTGCTGGTTTTCTGCCAAGGCGTTGAAGATTTAAAATGATTGAGATTTCTATTAATATTCAGGCAGACTGTGTTAATCGCTGTCATTCACTTTGCAGCTCCATAAAACGTGAATAATTATTTTACTATAATTAAGGACTCCACTTTGTTCTTATGTCGCGTATATTTTAACAATCTCTCCCACCAGAAGTTGTTTAATGCAGATAATATTATTCATATTTAATCTGAAATTAAACAGAGAAATAGGAAATCTCAATAAATGGAAACAATGAGGATAATAACACCTTTTGAGTATTGTGAAGGTGATGAAAATAATACATTTTCCTCTTATTTTCTGTGATCTGCAGCAGATTTGGACATAAAAGGCATTTAAAGTGCATCTAAGTGGCAAAATATATAACTGGAAAGCAAAGTTTGAATATTATCTTGCTTATAATGATGGCAACAGAAAACCATGCAGCCAATGAAGGTTTGCAGTTGTACCGACCCAACTGTGATGATGTTATGCACTTATTATGCTGTTTTCTTACGATAAAATGTTCCTCTGATTGGGTGCAACTCAAATAGGATACATAAATGTCTAATATATACAGCTGAAACAAGATATTTATACAAAATCTGATATAAAAACTCAGCAATTTCTCTTTTTTCACAACTTTAAATCAAACTGAACATATTCTGTGTTAGGAGTAGCAAATTTATCTCCACTGAATGTCAGATTTTTATATTATAAAGTTTCTTTACCGTTAGAGTTTGGTAGAACTGAGTCAAACATTTTGTGTATTGCTCCACTGGTGTCTCAGTAGTTGAGACACCATTGGCATGTCTTTTCTCATAACATTGACTTTGTTGCTGTTAATTGGAAAACCCAAACTTCAGTATTTCCTCATTCTTTCCTCATGATGTAACTCCTTTACTGCCACCGCTGTACATCACAACGTTGGTGTTGTTCTCTGGTTTCCTGTTCTTTCCTCCTTGTGTACCAATGGTCACTTTGGTCAAACAAACTAAAGTTTTTCTCCCTCAATGAGAGGTTTCACCTGGGTTCTGGTCCATTTCCTTCCCGAGCCGTACGATATTGATATGTGACTCATCAATGGGGTGAATTCAGGCATTGCAGATTGAACCCAAATATGAACCAAAGCTATTCACATCTCTTTTCCCGATATCTTTAGCTATTTTCCATTTCCGAAGAAATGGTGTGCTTGAGATTTTGTCTTAAAATACATCCGTGGTTTTGTTTACAATTTCTCATTTTCTGCAAATAAATACATAATTTTTGTTTGGAATCTTGGAGACATGTTGTCAATAGTTCATAGAATAGAAGAACAATGTTCATTTTACTTAAACACATAAATATAAAAACTTAAATCATAGAAACTGATCATTTTAAGTGGTCTTAACTTTTTCCAGAGCTGTAATAATCATTGAAGAAGTTGCACAAAATTGCTCTTTTTATTTCTGGTAGAAATATTGTTGATAATCCGAAAATTACCCAAACTAGAAAATATTTTCTGGTTCAATGTGAGACCTTGTGTGTCTGTTTTGAACGGATTTGAACTGTGAAAGTGGGGACAGTCCGTACAGTAGGATTGATGTTTTTGAATTTTATTGTTGGATGTTGCAAATGTGAAAAGTCTTCACTGTGTTGTGACACATCCGGTGTCTTTTTGACTTCCCTGTTCAGATCTGTTGCTCTTAACGTCACTGAAAACGACTCAACCCAAGAGTCGCTGCACATCGAAAACCAGTAAAATTCACCTTAATTACCTAAAGAGGCCATTAAATCTCTAACCTAGATTAAAGTAAAACATCCTCTTCCGAAACTGACAGTTAAAATTAAAATGAAAGAGATTCAAGCATCATAAAGAACTTGTTGATTGAGTCCCAGAAGTTTGAAACATTTATGAAACACCATTGACATGGATTTTAAAATGTAGAACTGATGAGTCGAACAGTTCCTACTTTTTGGGGAAGCAATGACGTTGATTTTGTGTTTATGCAAACTGGTTCCAGTCTGAGTGGTACAGCTGGTTCAAATCCATGTGTCAGATTCGAGTTTGCTGCAAATTTTGGTTTGTAATCACTTAATTTAAAAAAGAAAGTCTTTAGTTGTTCTTCAGAAGTGTCCTTTGATAATTAGTTTTTGAATTAAACTCAAAATTGAAGTGGTCAGTTCCATGTTGTATCACATTTTGAAATTTCCTGTTGTGGCAAACGTGCGTCTTCACATTTATCTCTATTCTCTGTGTTTTTAGCC